TTTTTTTTTTTTTTTTTTTTTTTACTTTTTAAACCAGAAATTTACATTATAACATTAATTATAAAATGTATATTAAAAAAAGTGCACTTTTTTAGTATATATTGATTGATCATTTTGTGGCACTTGATGCCAAAAGTAATCTGACCGTGAAGTGAGTCAATATAAAAAGTAATAACTAGCATTAAGCAATATGGCACTACATGGGAAAATATAGTTATTAAAAAGTAATATTAAAGTCAAAACTTGAATAGCTTAGTAAACAACTATTTTTACTCATGAAAATTTACCTTCAGCTAATTTCTCATGGCATTGCAATCAAAAAAAATTTTATAAAAGAAAATTTAAAATGCTATACACTAATTATATTTCGAGTATAATAGCACATTATCTTTTTACTAAATACAACAATGTTCATATTTAGAAAGGCACTTGGGCATTACTAAATGAACATCACAGAAAAGTTCTTTGCAATTACTACAAACAGTTTAAAAAGAAAAAAAAATTAAAAGATTGCTACAGAATTCAGAACCTTGTTTTGTCCTTCACTATTTGTATCACATTTTCAATGACATCTGACGTGTTTGCTGTGCCACCAAGATCTGGAGTATGAATCTAAACAAATTAAATGGATAAAAAGAAGGTGAAAACTAAAATTAATGCATAGATTTTAAAAAACATATCATTGCTATACTGCCAAAAGTAGCCAAGTCAAATAGTTATACAGTCAAACCCTGCTATAGTGAACGAAATGTTCGGTCCCGTCCCTTGCTATACACGTATAATGCTGTGGATATAGTGAACCAAAAAAGTGAGGAAGTTGGATATAATGAACCTTCAACTGATTTCCCCCCCCCCATTTTTTTGTAATAATTTTGACATTTCTACTTCAAAATAAATACATGTACCGATTTTTAAAACCATCTATAGAGACTACTTTTATGTGCTCGAATGGCAGGTTAGACAGGTTTAAAAAGTGGAATAACTGAAATTCAGGAAAAATTATCTGAGAGTCGGGAAGTGTTTCCATATCTGATTGCTCATCAGCTAAAGATTACTAATTTTCATTTGTACGCAAGACGAAGAGTAATAAAAAATTATATATATATATATATGCTAGGGGGCTATTTATATAAATATATATATATATTGCCCCTGTTCACTGCAGCTCAAAAACCCTGATGAATGCCCCGCAATAACTGTTGTTTCTTGGCAGAAAAGAGTTTTTCTTTTAACAAACGTTGAAAATATTCACTTGATATATATATACTAAAAAGAATTCTGTTTACTTATGCTTGTGCCTCCACTTCTCATGTCCAAATATCACTATTTATTAGTATTATAAATATTTAGATATATTGGAGAACAAAAGTAAATTTTCTAAGAAATCATTTTTTAAAATAACATTTATCTTAACATTATAAAACATTATGTTGATCTAACAAACTTGGTGAGCTATTATTTCTGCTGACATCACATTGTGCTGATCGAGAAGTTCTAAATCATTTAACGAATCTCTGTAATGGTAATTTATAACAATATACTAATGTTATTTACTCAAAATATAATAATTGTAAAACAGTCAATAAGATTAAACATTTTTTAAATAATTTTATCTTAAAATGTAGTGCAGAATTATGTTACAATAAAAATAATTAATAAAACAGAAAAAATTATCTTAGTTTCAAACTCCTATATCAAAAGCATAATAATAGCAGTACAGGAAAATACCTTTAAACTAAGGATACGTACAAAAATATTTATAGGAAAACAATACCTTTATAACTTTAATTAATTTTATGCATAGGACAACCAAAACAACATAAACAAATGAATAAGGGAAAACTGGATCCTATCACCTGATTTTCTGACCAATAAAAATGCACCAACAATAATGGAAAACTGTGTTAGACCATTATGCTCTTATGTTATGTATATATGCAATTTTAAATACATTATTATAATATAGAGAAGGTGATCTTGGATCCAAAATTTATTATTCACAAAAATAACATATATGTATATAAATCGTATGTATATTAAATCTCTAATCTCAAAAAGCAATTCTGTAAGTGATAAGTTTAGTACATTAAAAAAAAAAAACTATGTAAGATATTAAAGTACTAAAGTCGATGCATCAAACAGACATGTGATTGCAGGACGAAGAAATTACCTGAATTTTTTTTTCTATGGGAAGTTTTTTCGCTTCTTTCACAGAATTTTTTTTTTTCTTTTTGTACATAGAAAATAAATAAAAGACTGAAATTTTTATGCACAAAAGTAACATTTATAAGCTTTAAAAAGTATATATGTGGAAATTTTTTTTTAGAGATTTCTCCATTTTCTCACTTTGCAAGACAAAAAATTAAAAAACTGTGAAATCAATGGTAATAACTGAAAAACAATTGTTGATAAAACCATGTATATTTTTGACAAAATCATATGAATCAGATGCGTCAAAAATACATTTAATTAAATAATGCTGAATGAAAACATAAGATTCGGAAAAAAATATGCACAAACTAATAATGAACACAGTTGAAAAATTGATTAAAAGAAAAGAAAAAAAAAACATGGAATTATAGTCAAATTCAAATTATTGTAAATTCCTCAAATAGTGAATACTCAGGTAAAAGATTAAAACTGTCTGTATCATAATTAAATCAGGTTTTTAGAAAATAAACATCCTAACGACCAAAAAAAGTAAACCAATTGAAACACCACATGAATTTTGCACAAATTGAGCATATCAAAATGAATAATATCGTCTTCATATGAAATAGTAATATCATAATATCATATGAAAAGGTAGGAATAAATAATATCATATGGAAAGATCGGAATTTTAAAAAAGCCTTACATTAGTAACAATAGCCGTAAAAAAGTCGATCGAAAAAACAACGATTTTGCCACTTCAAAAAGTGACTACAAATTCACGAATCGAATTTTACGTGTCAGAATTATAATGTATAAAAAAATGTAGGGATTTAAAAAAAAACTCTGAGAAAATTCATAACAATAACAGGCAATGAAATGATTGAAACACTACATGGATTTACAATGGTATTGACAATAATACAGCATAACGCAACCTCCATCAAATAAGACAAAGAAAAAAGAGTAAGAAAAACAAGCATAGATCGTGGAACAATTTGAAATTAACTAGGTAGCAGTTTCAGAAGCCTCGGCTCCTAATTTTAAAATGAAATATATCAACTTGAATTAAAAACACACTGATTATGCCCTAAAATCAAAAGCTGAGGCAACTAAAATAAAAATATTCCTCATCCAACTAGTTTTTTGTGATGACCACATTTTAATTTTTCTCCAATATTATTAACAAGATGTAATATTTCTAATTGCTTACTTTGTCGATATTCACAGTCTTATCAACAGCATCACCAATAATTTTAGCATACTTCTCCAGCCTGAAAAAGAACACAAAAAATGATTAAGATGCTCAAAATTAAAATAACATGCACATATTTGATAACATATTTGATTTAAATTAACATGCATAAAATTAAAAAACCATTGCTCTTTGTGTAGTTTTGTCACTACTTTTAACAATGCAAAAATAAGCTAGTTTTTAAAATATTTTCACATGATACTTAATTTGTAGTTCATTGAATTAAAATCTTGGTTTTACAGTTCCTTTGAGCATAGTTATAAAACAAAATAGCTTTTTCAAAAGCTGTACTCAAATCAATTTTTCAATGCAGTATAAGGAGAAGCATATGACTCTTTTAAAATACAAAAACCAGCACCACATTCCTCCAGGGGGAAGGTTAAATGGGAATTAACTTTAGCAATTTCAAATAGTTTTTAAACACATTGAAAGAGCATATTACAGATAACTCCCAACTAACTAAATTTAAAAAGAAACCTTATTGCTTTCTAAAACAGATTTTATTAGATTATATATATATAATAAGTGACAATTATTTATAAAAATTTAAAATTCAAGCAAACTAAACCAATTTAAACGAGATAATGGCAATTAAGAGCATAAAAAAATTACCCCAGGTGATGTAACAGATCAACACTAGCATTCAGCATAGCAACAGGGTTTGCTATATTCTTTCCGGCAATACCTTTGCCTGTATTTCTAGAACCCTAAAACAAAAATGCATTTAGATTCTACTACTAAATTTGAAAGAAAAAAAATTTAACTTTATTAAAACATAAGAAATCAAACTGTCATCAAAAACAAAGTACATACCAACATCAAATACAATATAAGAAAATTCCTACCCAATTTATGAAAAATGATAGTTTGAACTTACTGTTTCAAAAACAGCATATTCTTTTCCATAGTTTTGACCAGAAGTGATACCAGGTCCACCCACCAGGCCACAAGCAATGTTGTTCAAAATATTTCCATACAAATTTGGAAGCAAAAGAACATCAAACTGATGTGGATTTGACACAAGCTAAAATTATATACAAGATTAATTTTTATCAGCAAACAGTTTTTTTGACTATTTGCAATATTAAAATACAGATTATAAACAAATATAATTAATATTAAATGAAACAAAGAATATTACTTTAAAAGACTACATAAAAAGATGTAGTCTACTTATATACATTTTAATTGTATGCTAGAATTTAGAAACAAGTGCAAAACAATTTATAAATTGTTTCATTTTTTTATTACTTATTATTATTAGAATTTTTTTTCAGTTTCCGGTAACTTACTAATTAACTAATTCAGAAATGTACAAACTAAATTTAAATTACTAATACTCAACTTTTACATCAAAAAAAAAGAAAGAAAAACTCTTATAAAGTAAGCTGGAACATCAATAGCAATTTTTTTAATGATGTCCTTTTTAAAATTTATTGTAATGAATTTTGAATAATATATACATACACATACACACACAAAGTGGAGCAAACTCCATCCCAGAATTGTCATAATAGCTCTTTAAAGCAAATAAGCATCAAAGCATTCTTATTCATTAAAAGATAACAAATAGAATATAATATACTTCCAATATTAATGAACAACAAATAAATCTATGTGTCTTGCGTTGTGCTATTTTTGAAGCTTTTGTTATAGATTTCCACACGGTTTTTAAAATCTTCATATTTCAATATGTCATTATAACATACCACAAATTCTGAATTACGCATTTTAGTTAGTATTCATTTCTCAATCCATTCGATTAGCCACAATTCCACAGTTATTCTATTTGGTTTAAACAATTGTTTCAGTGGTAATTATTAAAACAGACTTTCAGTTGGTTTTTAAAATCTCAATGCTTTTATTAAATATTATTTTGCTCAACAAACTTTGAATTGCGTATTTTGCACTAAATTATTGATGATTCATTAGCAATTCCACATGGATTTACAACAGCATTGAGATAAGTAAACAAAGAAATCAAAGGCTATAGGATCATAGAATATATTTGTATGAAAAAATATAACACATAATATTGATTTATCTGGTAATACTTTGAAAATTTTAAATTTATATATTTATACACAGAATCAAATATATGATTAACATAATTTTTCAAAGAAAACAATTAAAAACATCAATAGAAAATAGAAAATTTGTTGTAGAGAAATTATTTTACCTGCATACTACAATTATCAATAATCATATTGTCAAGTTCTATCTGCGGATATTCTTTAGCAATATCAATGCATGTATTCAAAAACAATCCATCAGCAAGCTTCCTGTAAAAAAGTTTGAAATAAAAAAAAAACATGTATTGAAATATATTAAACCTGTTCAGTATACACTTAAACATATTCAGTTACAGTTAGCTTGTATGAACAAGCCTGCTGAACAAATATGGCAGATGAAGTCTTTTTCCTTATTGCCCTTGAGCTGTTCTTAAGATTTAAGTAAAACTATAAAAGAAACAAAAAGTAATGGAAAGTTTTTTTCCCACCAAGCTTTATAATTGCAAGTAACTGATTTAATTTAACTTTTGAACCTTCTTTAAAATATTATATTGTTACTGATTCAAATCTCCATAACTAATGTTAACTAATCCCCATAACATGTCAACTAATAACATGCAAGTTATGGAGCTAACTCACATATGGAGATACTAACAACATACATGTCAAACATGTTAACTCGTAACTGTATCAGAAACACTACTTTTATTTCATGTATTTATTGTTTTATTTTTGTGAAAGTCAAATTTAGAGGTCAATAAAATATTTTAACTTTCTGATTTTTTTTCTCTCTGCACACCTAAAATTTTAATGTTGAGGAAAAAAAAATACTTTTCACTTACATAATATTAGCTTTATGAACGGCAGTAACTTTCTTCCTGTTGTGCTTGACAGCATAATCAAAAGCGTATCTTGCAATTTCTTCAGACTTCTTCCTAGTCACAATTTTCATACTTTCAACAACTCCAGGAACACTCTGGAAAAAAAAAAAGAATCAAAGGCATTGACTACAATATTTTTACTGAACAAGGTAAATCAAGTTATTTAAAAATTGCTTTTTTACTCATTGTTATCTGCATGAAATCAATAAAAATTGCCACAATTAAGTAACTTTGTCAATCATTGAACTTCAGAAAAAATAGATTACTTAAGATTAAGATTAGATTTCCTTCTAAGCTAGCTAACCTTATAGTAAACTCAAAGTAAATTATCTGTATTTTGAATGACATAAAGCATGAAAACACACAGCCTTTTTTAGCATTGGGACTTGAAGAATGAAAAGAAAAGTTTAATTTAAAATTTAATGGCACAATTATTGTCCCATACTTAAAGAGTACATAGACTGATCAAATAGTGTGATAAACTAAGTTTGACATTAAAAAAAAGGAGAGAAGACCTGTGGCAAACATCACAGCCATTGAATCTGTGAATATCTACAGTTTCACAACACAATTTTAGTGTAAATACTAAATGTATAAACCTCAATCTAAAAATATAATTTTTGAATTTTTATTTTTAAAGAATTATTTATCCAACATTTTCTTAAAAAAAAAATGTCTGTAACAGTTAGTAACCAGATAAATAATAATAATGAGCAATGTTAAAAAAGAAAATTTAATAAAAACTTGCTTCGTGTTCCAAACAGCTGTATTCCCCTTCTGTGTTCTGTCTGATGAGTACAATGTCTATGTTGTTATGCCTTGTCTTTATTCCAGACTGACTTTTACAATGTAAGACATTCACATAGAGGCCCAACTCCAACCTAAAAAGAAAAGAATATTTTTATATTTACGTAACGGGCAAAATAAATCATGATAAGTAAAATATAGTGAAAAGCAAAGTGAAAAATCATTGTAAAAATATTTTGCATCCATTACTTACTAGTAATACTTAGAATTAAATTAATATTTAACTACAAAAAAATTAACTTTATCAAAACAGTTGGACCCACTCACAGCAAACTTGAACTGAAGATTCCTATTTTAATGCGGAAAATAGACTAGATTTTGTTTAGTAAAATATTATAGATGTTTTGTTTTTCAGTTAAGCAACTTTTTGGATTTAACTACAGAAATCAATTCGGAAGCATAAAATGATATTAGAAATAATCTAAACAAAAAACACATAATCAATCCTTTTAAACTACAATTAGTTCTCTATTAAATGGCATTCTATTTAATTATGCTCTATTTATCCTCAGGATAAATAGAGCAAGTTGAAGGAATGGTTAGGATAGACCATTCCTTCAACTTTAATGAAGATAATCTAAACAACTCTCAAAGTCGTTAAACAGGGGGCTAACTGTATTAAATGAGTTTTAAAACAGAATAATTTTAAAGTAGGTTTTGCTATCCATGCTTTTCAGTGTGGCTGTTAAAAGTCGTGTGTTCAGTGTGACTTTAAAGCAAGTGAATGTAGTGACTATTAAAAGAAATTTTATTTAAAAACACATTTTATTTAAAAACACTGTCTCCGTTGAGATCTTTCAGAGATGCAGATGAAATGACATGCTACACATGCTAAATAAATGCTTACACAGATGCATCTACTGCATTGTTGTTTTAAAAAAATAGTTTTACTATTTTTGAACCATTTTACTTTATTTTTGTAATTCTGTTTCATTCTTATATAATTTTATTTTTTACGATCTAATATGAAATTTTAAAAAAAATTCAAATGCACTAACCTCTAACTTGCTAGGAAATAAATTGAAAGTTTTAAACATGCTAGAGTGTAAAGGAAAAAGATTGTAAAATGTAACTTTGACACAATTTTTTTCTTTTTTTTTCCCCAAATGCACTCTACATAACTATTATTTTTCACAGTCCCTTCAAAGTCATTAAACAGAGAGCTAACTGAATTAAATGAGTTTTAAAACAGGATGATTTTTAAGTAGATTTTGTTGTCCATCATGCTATTCAGTGTAACTATTTAAAGCAAGGGTATATAATGGCTCTCAAAAGAAATTATATTTAAAAACACATGTACTGGCATTGTAGAGACATTATAAAATCTTGAATAGCTTTTAAAGTTATCAAAAATGGAGCCTATGAAACATTTTAAGCAAAATGTTTTAGCTGTTAAAGTTGAACCCATGATGAAGAATGATTCCATAATCTAACTTTTTGTTGCACAATTAAAGTCTGTTCTAACAATTGTTTAGTATTGTGTTTTTAATTTTCAATCATTTGATAAACAGTAGTGGATAAATATAAACATACTTCCAGCTTGCACTGTACACATTATCTTCAGCATAACATTAGCCAAATATATTACAAGAAGGCAATATAGTATTTTCTAAATAAATCCTTCTACTTAAAGAATTAATATTAATAAACGTCATAAATAGAATCAGTTCTTATATGGAAATCTGAGTTCTTTTATTAGAACCATATAAAGTGAATGGGTTTTAATATTTTTTGAGTAATTTTACAACTGCACAAAAAAAAAAGAAAGATCATGCCAATTTTTAAATAAATTATCATGATTTTTTTTGTTGATAATTTTCAAATTATTCATTATGAAATTAAAATCATATAAGTCTTATTCTAATGTCTCCTTACTCTTCTCTAACAATTGATCCCATTTCTAATACTGTTCAAGTATTACATATTCAAAAATAAGCAACTCAAACCTATAAAGCCTTTAATGAGTCTTGCTATTGGACAACCATGAAGCAAAAACTAATTTATTGAATAACTTTAGTAATATTTCCAGTAGTTTATGAAAAAAGGAAGCAGAATTTTTTAATTTTTTTGGCTACACCACTGATACAAACCTGCTTTATCATTTCTAATATTTACCATGCAAATTATCGTACAAAATAACCAACAACACATTTTTTTTTCAAATTAAAAGAAAGTTGTAAAATAAAATACCTCAAAATAACATTTCTTGATCTAAATTGTGGATTGTTTGCCCTTGTTTCAATATTACCTAGAAATAAAGAGAACAAAGAATAAGCTGTCTAGAATATTATAGCTTAGTATAAATATCATTATTTTATAATTAATATGGCAATATAATTCATTAGGTTTAATATCATCTACGAGAGGAAAACAACAGTAGATGGGAACAAATTAAGCATTCTAATTTTATTATTATTTTGCTACAAATTTAGTCATCATAAAATGCATTAAACTTTATTATACATGAAATCATCTCACAATATGATCTTGAAACTGAGGTATTTGCTGAAGCTTTCACAAGACTTAGCTCTAATAATATAAATGTGCCACCACTTTTTTTACTATTAGGCACTGGAGAAATGGCTGTTGTGTCTTTAGTTCGGGTTTACAATCTTGAAGTTTCTTTTAATAATGAATTGTTAATTGAATAAAAAAATCCTTTGGAATACATTGTACAAAGAGATCAATTCAAATTTTCGAAACATCTAATTGCCAACATAAAATGATTTCATTTAATTTTTTTAAATTGTCAATGATAAATTTTATAATCTGGATTCATCTTTACTAAAAATGAATCCAGATTCACCAGTAAAAGTTTTCAATAAAGTAAAATTTAATTAAGTTTCTTTTCAATATTAGTCAAGAGTCCTAAAATTGTGAAACATTATTAGGTACATAAGCAGGAGTTCTTTTTAGAAGAAATTCGACTCCATTAACGGACCCCTCACAAAAACTTATTAATCTTAAATAAGAACTCTTCACAAAATTTTTACGATAAAATCAGTTCCCTCAAAGAAATCTCTACTAATAAAGGCTCAAATTCATTTTTTTTTTCTTTTTTTAAACTCCTTTTTTCTTCCAAGAGAGAGGAAAAAAATTATGACTAGATTTTTTTCAATTACACAAATACCGACCTTTCACAAAAAGTTTGAATCAGCCACTGGTTTTTGTAATTTTTTAAAAAAATCAATCCATACTTTAACAAATTCACAAAATTATGAGTAGATTACTCACGACTTCATGAAAATAACCAACCAATTTTTTGCAATTTTAGGATAATGGTGTCTCAGAATCTAAATCAATAAAAAAAAAATTCACAATTTCATGACTTTGCATAAAAATAGCATGTTAGTTTTTCATACTCATTGACACACTCACAATGTGGATTTGGTGACCATCTCCACACTTGCCTTGAATTTATTGTCATTGCAGACTTTTTGTATAAGACTGTTGCACAGAAACTGAGGGTTAAAAAACAAAAATCGGTGTAGCTTTAAAAAACACACACATTAAAAATACAATACAACTTACCTTTAATTGCAACACCATTGCGTTTAATTGATATAATAGCTTCTTCAACATTATCTATGTGTTGCACTGTAGAATCAAGGTACACTTCTTCAAAATCAACAGGTACACCACCCAATCTTAACAGAAATAATGAAATGCAAAAAATTACTAAATAAATATACTACCTCATTCTAGTAACAGAAATTATATCAAACATTTTACAGCAGTATTAAATACAATTAATGAATCAAATTGATTTATATATAACAGACAGTCACAAAATCACTGAATTATAAAATTGACCACTCTTTAAAATCAAAACTCAAAGAAAAGAATCATTAAAATATCTAAACATGTTAAAACCATCTTTTCATAAAATCTTAAATATTGTTTTCTAAAATAGCAAAATGAAACTTCTGTTGGGCATGAGTTTTAAAAATGAAGAATAAAATCAAGATTTTTCTATTATGAATACTTTATCTTTGAGCTTTGAATGATTTATAAGCAGCATATGGATAACTGATTTCAGTTTGCCACTTCAAGCAAAAAGAACAAAGCTACGGGCGTGTAAATTACAGTACTCGGAGAAGGAGTCAAAGTTGAAAAAGATTGAAACACAAGTGAGAGCACTAAATAATAAGAAGAGAGGGGAAAAAATACTATAGAATTAAGCACATTTTTGGATGCATATCCTCATTTCATGTCAATGATCATGACTTGTTTATTAACTTTCACTCAGTGAAGAAAAATTAATCTCGCTCAGCAGACACGAAAAAGAATTCAAATGTGAATAAATTGAAGGAGAGATCAAGTGCTTATTTATTACATAAGATAAATCATATGAAAAAAGGAAATCCATTCTGTTTGCTATTTTATCTCATAAAAAAGAAGAGCCAAAATATTGATGAAAAATTTTCAAATGGTCCATGATTCATTTGGGTTAAAGTTGTCTGTTATTGAATTAAATTTGTTAACAAGCAACATGCCTAAATGGAAAGATTTAAGATACAAGGATAAATTCCAAATGTTTATGTGTTTTTATCTATATACTAATATTGAAATCTAAAAAAAACTAGTTCGATTTCCAAACAAGATAGAATATTTTTTCAGATTCTACTAATCAAACAGTATACTAATATTTTAAGATCTCTCTGTAAATAAAATAAAAAAATTTGACTCATATTCAACCAAAATGTAAATTAAAACATGAACTAAATGAAGTAATACGAAATCAATTTGCCACTGGTAGAAAAAAACTGTAGAACAAAAGAAAGAAACAAATAATAAAGGAATACAACAGACATATGATTACACAAAAAATACATTTTTTAAAAAAAAGTAGAAATACTTACCGAAATATTTCTTTTACATGACCCATCATCTCTGGACCAATACCATCCCCAGGCAACATGCTGACCATGAAACGACCTCCATACTTAGCCTTATGATGGTCAGCCTAAAATATTTAAAACCAAACTAAATCAACTTATATGGAAAAGCCATCATTTTTAATGCTTACATGTCGATAATTTATATTTGTAAATAAAAATTTATTTTAAACATTAATTTATAAGTTGATCAAAAACTACTTTGAATCATAGAACATTCTAGAACAATTCAATTTCATTTAAATCTAAGTAAGGCATACAAAAAATTTTATTGATTTGAAAGAAAAAAATATTCCATAACTTTATTGAAAATAATTTTGAAAAATATATAAAGAAGTAGTAGGTTCTTGATTATCACGCTTTCATCACAACTGGCCTAGTACTAGTACTTCGATATTGCCAATCAGTCGTAAAAATCTCAGTTGGAGGTGGAGGAAGAAAAAAATAGGAAGAGTGTTTAAGTGACAGTCTGCATTTGAGTAGATTATCTATTAATAAATGTAGAGTGTAGTTTGCCTAAAGCAAGAACAACCCCGCCACAAAATCTGAATGTCTATCTCATTTTGTAAGAGAAAATATAGCTTGCATTAATTAATTAGCACATTTGAAGTCACCACCCCGAATCATTAAGAGAGTCCCAGAATGTGAAGATCCGATCATTAGAACAAAAGTTATTAAGGGTGATTTGTTTTTCGCCTTGCAAACATGTTAGACTGAGTCAAATCAACATACAAACATAATCTGAGCATTTATTAATTTGCAAATTTTTTCACTTTATATAAATTTTTAGCATTGTAACTCATTAACATAATTCATAGTAGAATATTTTGTTTTGGACAAGACAGAAATGATAACTAAATTCAACTGCTTTCATTAAAAACATTTGACAAAACATGAATTCTTGTTTAATGATAATTTAATTTACAAATTGATAATTCTGCAATATTGTTTAACGATATCTTTTATCTTTTTTATGATGCTTAAATAATCTTCAATAAAATCTAGCTATGGTCGAGTTTTAGACAGCTTAGTTTTCAAAATTTTGTCCAAAAGCTTTCCAACTTTGAACTACCCTTTTAATTCAATAATATATTATTGCTTAAAATAAATAATTAAATAAAACATAAATCTATATATTAAATGACAATAAATATTGAAACACTGTTTTACTTAAAATAAAAATTCTCACAAAACCTACCTGAGCTGTGCTGATGCCTCTAAATCTATCTAATGTAGTTGAACTTGAGGCTCCCTAAAAATACATTTATACATTATAGATAAAACAACTAGTTTTATTAAATGTAGAAAACTTCAACATAAAATCTATACTAGTATCAAATATATATGCTTAAAAAAAATTAGCTGAAAAAAGTTATAAAAATAAAACTTATTTACCTAACAGACAGCTAATAACAGCAGCTTAAGTAAAATGAAGCTATGGAATTAAAATCATTAAAGAAATATGCTGAAACAATTTTTGCAGCTTTTTTTGAAAGAAATCTACTTTTACAGAATTTTTAAGATTTAAGCACATTGGACTTTAAATTATAGAATATATGTATGGGCGACTCTCAATGTCAAACTGAAAAATAGATGCAAAAATTCCTGAAATTTAAAGATTTTAGTCAAAATAATAATAACTATATTGACATTTTAAAATTATAGAAGTGGGAGAAACCAAGGATATATAACTAAAATATATTCTTAGTTCGTGTACATTTTGACTGGTCCTTTCATATGATGTTCACTTCTTAAAAAAATATATAAATAAATCATTTTAGTGAATTAAAATGATAAATTACAAAACAGAATGTGAAAGGTCATAGATATGATTACAAAACCACTGACCAAAACATTTGACTACATTGAAACAATTGAACCAATTTGACCGGTGAACGGAATGTGAATTTAAAAATTCGTCAAAAAAGTTATTGAAGTTCTTAATAAAGAGGGCTAAGCTCCATTTTTAAATATTTCGATTGAAGAATTCATGAAAACATTTTGAATTCTTCAGAATACACTCCAAACTAAATCAGCCTAATTAAATTGATTTTATTAAAAATAAAAGAAAAAATAAACAGTTAATGAAAAAATGAAACCTACTTTTAATTTTTAAAAGAAAATTTCAAGTTAATTGCACGTGATATCGACTTTTCAAACATTTTTTAATGCTTTCCTAAAAAAATGGGTGCATTCCTAGATCCATTTCTGGACTTAAAATTTTAAAGTTCAATGCGCGTATGCACTAGTTCCCATCGTTGGTAATATAAAGTGAATCTATCAAATAAGTAAAGCATGTTTTTACCAATAATTTTGAGTATCCATAAAATGAGGAACAGAGATGAGTTCTCCTACAAAGTACCAAAGGAGTCAATCTTGAAAGCATCCTATGAAATTTGATCGATTTCAATTCAAAAAAATTGTACTAGTCAAATGTTAAAACAAAAAACAACTTTTTAGAATTTGAAATATAATTAGACACAATAAATTTTCGGCATGAGTCAAGTTCAATAGAAATCGAGTGAAAGTAAATAAAAACAATAAACTAATTACGGTTACAGTTTTAAGTATTTTTTTACGATAAATTTAAATATTGAGACTTGCATTAATTTATCTCAAAATCATCAAATATATAAAAAAAATCTTATTTTTTCTTGAAAAACTGGAAGAATATTAATTTTATACGCTTTTAAAAATAAACTATTGAGTTGAATTTATTGAGCATTGTAACGTTAACCGTAAGCAAATTATCACGAGTGACGAACCAAGATGCCAACGTACTGTGAAATGTAAATGTTTACGTTTTGGTTTTATCGGATTACTCGTAATTTTTTAAATTGAATTATGTTTAATCGGGTGAGAAATGCTTTATATAATGTCGTTGGTGGATTGGAAGCATATCCTGCACTCAAAGATGGAGAAACACTCGACAGACCTCCTCTAAAATTTCGTTACACAAGACCAAAATTTTTACAATTGACATCTGATGATGAAGTTCAGGTGTCAGCAGACCATGTAATTCGTCCTATAATTGTTCCAAGAGACATTACGCAGTTGCCGTGGAATTCTGGATATGCAGAGTAAGGGGTGTTTGAATTTGATTCTAAAATTATTCCAATAAAAATGAAGTACGATTGAAAATTCTACAAGTGTTCATAATTTCTTATTGTTTGAAAACTTATTCCTATGGGTATCAGTTATCATGTATTATTGTATCTTATTCTTTTGTGTTGAATCGTATATACTATTTTGCTATTATATGTTCAGCACAGCTGATATTCTATATGCTGCTTTTGTAAAATTTCATAATTTACATCAAGTATTGTAATGATTGAACATGGATTGGGATTATTTCCGTATCGTCATCTGCTGCAGAATAACCGTCGATTTTTAGCTACTTCAGGGCAGTTCCCTCGAGAAACTAAAAAAATTAAATAAAAACTCCATCAAAGGACCAACTTGTAGCAACCTCCAGGCAAACCTTTGCATGATTTTTTTTTATAAATGTAAGTTTAAAATATGTTTGGTGTCTTAGCAACTATAGTTCACAAACAGCTCTACAGATCACAAACAGATTTTAGACTTGAAAATTTTATTTAAAACTATGTTGGTTTATATCCTTCTAGTCTGTTAGGCAATTGTTAGAGCAACAGATCATGATATGGAACTAACCTTATTATTTGTTACCTAACAGATATGCATGATATACATCAATGCCACTGAGGGTGAAATTGTCACCTTTGTGGAAAATATTTTAGTATTGCTTGTTATAATAAATAGGAGACAAAATCAAGGGTTGATCTATGTGGAAATCTGCCATCTTGTAGTCCGGAGATATTTCTGTAATGTGATCTACCATGGCAACTACAATTGCCAAATTGATTTTCAGGGATGTGATTCTTTTGCGGATTTCCGCTTTTTTTTCCTTTGGATTTTTCCCGCTAATTTCTGCTGAGGATTTTATGAGGAATTAAATTTTCCGCGAAGCGAAAGTATTGAAGTCCTCATTCCTCCCTAAAGCATTAATTTTCGTATTTACCTAATTTAAAAGCAGGGTTCATTGATTTAAATCACGATTTAAATCATGATTAAAATCAAATGATTTTTTTAAAAAAATCATTGATTTAAATCAACTGATTTTTATATATATATTATATTGATTTTAAAAGTTAAAAAACTGTGCTTTAAATTATTGATACTTTTATTATTTTCTTTTCTTAGTTTTAAAATTTATTTTAAATAAATTGCTGCAATAATTAATTTTAGTTAACGAAATTACTTTCTTTCTTGGAGTGTGTTAAACACATTTAAAATTACATGTTTAAAAATATTTTGATTCTTAACATTGAAAGTACAGATTAAAGTAAATATTTAATGCTGTCTTAATATAGACTTGCATAGCTGTAGAAAGTAAATAAACATGCTTTTTTTTCAAAAAGCAAATGTTAATTAAAATTCTACCTTTTGATTAAAAAAGCATGAAATTCAAATCTACATTATAGTTTATTGATGGAAATTTCTATATTTCTAAAGCTTGAGGTTATATTAAAAAGAAATTACCTTAATATGCCAAAAATAGAAAAAAAAAAGAAACTGAGTTCAGATATTTTTTTCCTGATATAGTGTCATTGTTCCCTATCAAAGTCTATTTGAAGCAGTAGGGTTATTAACTGGTTTTTATTTTTCTTCTCATAATATGTTTACGGTATCATTGAAATTATCAGATTTTCTTTTGTGAAAAAAAATTCCAATGAGTACATAGATTTTTTTAATAATGTTTTTTAGCTTAACTTATGTATTTTGATAAAGGATTAAAAATGAATATTTTAACATAAAAATATATAGATTGAATATTTATTTTTTGATGAATAACAACATTTATAAACACAATCTGTTGCATTTATTTTGCCATTTTATAAATCATGAGAAAAAAAAGAGATCACAATTTTAAATTAAAATTATGCTGTGCTAATTGAAACTTTGTGTTCTTTAAATTATCTATTTTATCTTGTCTTTTAATTTCAATCATGCCTTTGTATCAAAATGGTCGCTATGCATTATAATGAAAAATTATTTTAGTAAGTTAGAGCTTCTAAAATATTGTTATAATATAGTTGTAATATTAATTGAATTTTGATTAAACATTTATAAAGTTTTTTCAACCATAAATTNATTTTCAGGGATGTGATTCTTTTGCGGATTTCCGCTTTTTTTTCCTTTGGATTTTTCCCGCTAATTTCTGCTGAAGATTTTATGAGGAATTAAATTTTCCGCGAAGCGAAAGTATTGAAGTCCTCATTTCTCCCTCAAGCATTAATTTTCGTATTTACCTAATTTAAAAGTGAACGTTGCGATTCTTAATCTGGCAATTTAAATGTCGTACATTGTAATTCTTATTTACGAGATTTTAAAATCTAATATTGCGATTTGTAATTATGGACTTTTAAAACCCTATGTAGTAATTCATATTCACGCGAGCTTAAAATCCAATGTCTCGATTCTTTTTGGCGGTTGTAATATCAAACATCGTTTTTCCTATTTGTATGTGCTTTAAAAATTAGACAGTGGGATTCGTATTCGCGCTATTTAAAAATTACGCATCGTGATTTGTATTTACGTGATCTAAAAATTACGCATCAGGATTTGTATTTTCGCATTTTTTAAATTTAATATAGAGTTTCATATTCACGTGATCTAAAAGCCTCATTTCGGGATTCATATTCTCTTAATTTAAAATCATGCATGTGATTCATATTTATATATTCATGCAATTTTAAAATTAATCATCGGCATTTATAATCACATGGTTTACAAGTTTAAAAGTTGCACTTTTTTGTCGAATTTTTGTGTATGTATATATATATATATTTTCTTTCTTGAATTTTCTCTTTTTTACTTTCCAACTACTCTCATCCCTGGATTTCAAACAGGAAACTTTTTTTAGAAAAACATGTAGATTTTTTTCCCGGGGGTGGGTACGAGTTGGTCCCTTTCTGTGATGCTTTCTTTTTTTTTTAATTTCTATCACGCCGGTGCCCGAAAGAGGCTAAAACTTGGCTATTATACTGCCACATGTCATGATATGGGAATCTCCTTTGCAGTCTCCTTTACTATACACAGTGTTCTCCTTACGCGTTTTTAGAAGGGCAGCGCACCCTGCCTGTCCTTTGATCCTTATAAATGCACCCTCTTTGCCCTTTTTGTAAAAATAAGCTGCCATCCTTTCGAAACACTGACTTTTTATTCATATACCATTTTTAAGAAAAATTTGTAAACTGTAAAAATAATAATTACACACAAAAATTGTCTCTATTTATAGGCTTAATTCTGATTACTACTTATACAAATATTTACCTTGTTAGGATTATTCTCAATTGGTTAAACTTCTATAAGTTTCTCTTTTTTCAAGTGGGTATATTAATAAATTTTTTGAGATTTTAAAATTATTTTTGAAATAAATACATACCTTCTTTTTTAAATAAATGCACCTTTAAATGTTTATTGCTAATAATTTTCAGTATAAATTATAGAAAAAAATCTTTCAATATATTTATCTAAAAATAATTTTTTTCTTTCACTTTTTAAAAAAAAAAAAAAATTAAGCACGGGATGGTCTTACCTGCCTTTAATTACTATTTATAAGCTACAAATTTTCTCTTATTTACATAATGAGTCAAAATTACTTTTTGAAGTATGCGCATAAAATAGTAGAAGACGGTAACTTAAAAAAAGGTCAGGATCAAAATTAGTTATTACATGATATTATTCATTTTAATAAATTTTTACAGTGTTGAGTGAGTGCCCTTTTCTGTGAGGTAGCACCTTGCCCTTTTTTTATTCTTAGTGAGAACTCTGCTATGCATAAATTTACTTTGTAGAAAATTTTCCGGTTATTATTTCGTATGATCTCTTAACAATTTATTTAGATGTCACACGCTTGTATTCTTTTAGGGCCATAAATGCTGGTAAAAGTGTGCGGAATGAAGACCAAGCAGCTTCTTCTAGACATTTTTTAAACACTTTAGTAGCTATTTCTAAAAAAAATGTTCCAAGCTTACCTTCAGATGCAACTAGTGAGTCCCAGCCTGCAGAGTCCCAAGTGGCCACTACAGAAAGTTCCATGGAAAATAAAGAGATGGATGTAAGTTCCGTCCCACCGATTATAGATTCCTCTCCTAAACCAAATATTGATGAAGACGCAGCACTACTGAATGAGTTAAATCCTGATGATCCTAAATCAACACAAACTTCTCCCGAAGCTTTTCAGAAACTACTGGTTAGTTAATTTATTTTATTTTACTTTGGTCTTTTAACTCAATAGAGTTTGATTTAGTGGTTTTAAATTTATTGTATGTTTAGAAATACTTTCTCTAGGTGTATATAAATTATAAAAAATCAAACTCGGAAAAATATGTCTATTTAAAGTGGATATTTTTTAACAATATGCATTACAACGAAGTGGTATGCATTACAATTGTTTGCTGTGGGTTCTAAATTTGTTTTGCTATATAATTAAAGCTCTTCATTGTCTGGTTTTCAAACTTATTGTAAATTTGGATTGGTGTATTTAGAAAATTCTAAAATGTCCAGGATCTAAAGCAAATCTATTTAACCACTGTTTATTGCCATCTTCATGTGATATCGGCAATTTCTTAAAATAATGAAAGAAATAATTGAATTAAAAAATCACAGTAGTTTTTTTTTTTTTTTTAACCTTTTGAAAAATTTGAATTTTTAAATAAATATGTTATTATTTTGAATTATTTTTATTTTTTTTTAATTGTAATCCTAAATACTACAAAGTGATTGGCTTCCAAATAGGTTATCTCAGAGCTCAATTTTCAAAATTTTGTGTTGGCTAAAAGTCTTCGGTAAGTCTTTCAAGTTTTTTTTTTTTTTTTCCATTTTGATAAAGTCTGACATAAAGTTCACACTTCCTACTTCAAAATTAAGCCCCTCTTTTTTTTTATTAATTATTTTTGCAAAATGATTTTAAAAATAGAGCTTTTCTGTATTTTTTTTTTACCCCAAAAACTTTTTATTATGACTTTTTTAATCTATATTGTTTAACAAAAGTTTAATTTGTATAAAATTGCAGAACTGCAAAAAAATATTAAATACACAATTTAGCCTGACTTTTTTTAATGTAAGCAGAATGTATAATTTTAATCGATTGCTGAATAGGGGCCAAATATTCATTACATCCCTGAATGTAAGGTTATTTAATTTTAAGTCAGTGCGTTATAAGCCTTAATTTGAAAGTGCTATTACTTTAATTACACTTTGATTTTTCAGTTAGTGATTTCTATCTATGAATGTTCATATGCAAAATTCTTTATTAAAGAATTTCATCAATGATAACAACTGATGTTATTTAGTTATTGAATATTTCAATAATAACAATGAAAAACCTTGATCTTCCTAGCTGGAACACACTATTCCATGGGTCTACTTTGGACTATTTGATGGACATGCTGGATCTGGAGTAGCTGTTGCAGCTGCAAACTCTTTGCAAAAAATAATACAGGTGAAAAAAATAAAGTCATTATGTGCATAAAACTAATTGCTGAATGAAGCCTACATGACTACTTGTTAAGGACACAAGTTCACCAAAAGTTCATTACTTAAAAAAAAAATCTAGCTGCTTTATTTATTGCCTCCTCCTCCCTCTTTTCTTGCTAATTTTTAAATTTTATATCTAAATTAGGAGTGACCAACTTTGCTAGGAAAGAATGCCACTATCTGAAAAGGAAAAGAAATAATGTGATCCTCTTCTAACTTTTACATCATATTAAGTAATAGAAAAAAAAAGTGAAAAAATGTTTGTTGAATGTTTATGGGGTTTCTAAGCAAATAATTTACTGAGAAGTCCAATTTGTGAAGATTAAAAAAATAGTAAAGTGAAATTTTCTGCTTTCTGAATAAGCCTTAAAATTTCTCGTGATTCTTCTTTTTTTTAATTATTATTATTATTGCAGAGAATTATAATTATTAATAGTTTTATTTTATTCTTCGTATTTTTATTCCAAAAATTTTTAATAATGAATGTTGCATTTTTAAGAAATGCTGCATTTATATCTCTTGCAATTGCTCTTAAAAAAAAAATTATCATCATGAAGTTAGTGTCTGTCAGAATTTATAAATTTATTTAAAATTAATTTCTCAATTAGTTTTTTTTTTTTAAATAATAATAAGTATGTTAAACTTTTGCTGTTAATAAACATTTCACAATATGAAAAGTATACAAAAATGCTTCAATGATAAATAAACAATATTTCTTAAAAGTTATAAATTATATTATGTATTATTCAAAATGTAAATTATAATTTTCTTAAACTACATAATTTTTGGGGGTTAATTAAAAAAAAACTATTAGTTTTTATTTCCTTTTTTGATTTAATATGAAGTAGCACGCATAACTATATAGAATGAGTCTAGGGTATGACACACTGCTGAATAAAATTTAAAGGCGAATATGTCCCTAGTCAATTTTTAAATGTTGCCATAAATGGCTTCTTTTTTTTTCATTGATGCTGAATTAGCTTTGTATTAACTATTGGAACTCAGCTATTTTTTATTCTATTATGTCAAAATTGAGTGCCAATCTAAGAATTTGTGTATATTTTAGCATTCAGAGAGATTGCTTGAACAAGTAAACCTAACAAGTAATTGCCATTCATTGTAAATGAGATCATAGATAAAGTAATCACATTATTATGCTTAATGTGATGGATTAGAATAAAAAATTGCTGTACCAACAGACTAGAAAATTGTTTTTTCTCAGTTATAATATTTCCTTTAATATACGTTTTTTTTTTTTTTTTTTTTTTTTTTTTTTTTTTTTTTTTTTTTTTTTTACTAAACTTAGTTTTGAAATTCTAAAACTGGAATAACAATCTTTTTTTAAAAGTTATTTCTTTTCATATGAACACTTAATCCCACATGACCCTGACAATATGAAAGACATTTTATAAAAGCTTAAACTGTTCAAGAAAATTCATTTAGCTGTATTTTAATTTTTTTTTCTTTTAATTTAATAAATAATAAAAATGAATTCATGGATTCTTTTAGGTTAGATAATTTCTGTTTCTTTCATTTAAAATTCAGTGAATTGATACATTTTTCCATTTTCTAGACAAAACTACAGGAAGTAGCAGACCTATTAGTATTACCTCAAACAGGATTAAACCTCTTTGCTAAAGGAAGCCATGAGCGCAGCTCTCAACCTCCAGGTTTTCTTGGCTTTACCACTGACAGGGATGTAACTGCTGACAGTCTCATCATTGGAGCATTAGAATCTGCTTTTTGGGAAATGGTAATTTAATTTGAAATATCAAGACAAAAATATTTCTATGTTATAAGACCCACAAATGTATTGCAAAATATGCAAGTTCTAATTTACCGATTTAATTAATAGGTTTTTGAAATTAAGAAAAATATAACAATAAATGAAATCATTTAATTTATTAGTTAATTTACAATTGTAAATACTGGAAAACACAAAGCAAATTAATAATGTACATACATGAGTAAATTTGCTAAAATGATGTCATTAAACTGAAATGCATACCTAACGAAATTTGTTGCCAGGCTAAATATAGTCTTTTTCAGAGATGATTTTTCCCAAGTGATATTGAAATTACAATTGTAGATCGAAACATATATTTTTGTCAGATCTTAATCTTACTATTAAATGATTATCATGCAGTTATATCACTGTTTATTTTATTGATATGAGATGATAATCAAATTCATTTTAAATTATATTTATAGATTCTAGAATTAAATAAAAAAAAGTATGAATTCTTGCATTCTTACTACCACTATAAACATTAAATATAATCTCATGCGAATACTTAAAAGCGGCTGCTATGTACTGTCTATAATCGTATCTAATGATGGAAGGGTACCTTTTTTTACTTATAATATGATATGTATATGTGCATTGAGTGTTTTCTTGTAATTAGAAGTTTATTTTTGACTTATTAGTTCTTAATTAATAGGACCGGCAAATATCAGTTGATAAGAAACACTATACGATGACTGGTGGATGTACTGCTTTAGCTGCCGTTTTTGTATTTGGCAAACTTTACGTTGCTAATGCTGGAGACAGCAGGTAATTTCCATATATATATATGTTTACATAACCATGTGAAAAATAGAGAAAAATATCTGGCTCAAGTAGATGTTAATAAATGCTCTTGTTAGTAAAGGTAAACTGTTAATTAATTCTTTTGTTATGAATATGTGTTTTTCTTACATAGCATTAAAAGAAAGTGTGTATTTCTCTTTATAAGTTGGTGAAACTTGAGTCCTGTGTAAATGTGTTGAATCTATTGCTTTTTAAAAATCGATTGAACCTTCCACTAAAAGTAACTTATTTTTTAATGAAACATATGTTCCTCGAAAATAATTTTTTTAGTTCAATTCTTTTAGATCAATTGAAATATTATTACTAATATAAATAAATTTCTTCCTGGTATTGCTAACATAAATATAGTCAGAATGAAAAGGAAAAAAAATTATATATATATATATAAATTTATTTTGGTTCTATTTTATGTGCTAATTCATAATATGCTAAATTCAACTTTCTCTAAAGGTAAAATATTTATCTGCTGTATCACAGTAAAACAGAACACAACATTAAATACACAAATATGTGTAACATAGTCTGGTACTCACTTCAGTTCAATAAAAAGCTCTATCTTAAGTCAAAAGGGTGCTATTTTTTAGCCTACTAGCTTGAAACTATGTAAATGTTGCTGTTAATCATTTTCTAAACTTATTCCTTTTTAAATACACCTTGTTTGAGCAATTAAGAATTCTAAATCTGGAAAACATATATTTCAAGTTTAATTTAGTTATATTTTTGGTGTGTTAGCTTTTATTTATGGTGGCAAAATAGGAGTAATTTTCAAACAACATTCAATGTATGGAGTGGACTTCGTTTGGAATTTTCTAGACAGTTTATTTGCTTTTTAGCTAAAATGGAAATAAAACTTTTTAATGCTTAAGTTTATGCATATAATATATATTATAACATAAATTAATATAAACATTTACAAAAAACTTTCTATTTTCATTGCTAATTTATGCTCTACATTTATTTCTGTGAATTTTATTATCTGTTATATAATTATTATCTGTTTTTTTCTTCCAAAATTTAATGAACTGCTATTGGTATTTTTTTTATTTAGAGCTGTTCTTTGTCGAGGTTTGAAAACTAGTCCCATGTCTAATGACTTCACTCCTGAAACAGAAAGGGACAGAATAAGGAAATTGGTATGTTAAAATTTTATTTTTGATTATAAATTATTTATTGTGTATAATTCCACATTAAATCAATCAATAAGAATTTTAAAAAAGAGTTATGGTAACAATTTATACACAGATGATTTTGAACAATTTATACAGATGATGTTTACATATTATAATGATATTTGGCATGTTTGCTATGAAATATTTTTTTAATTAAAAAATTGAGAAAAATTAATTTTAAAAAACTCAAAATTAAAGTTTTTTTAATATTTTAGAAAAATATTTAATTCATTTGACTTTTTTTTTTAAAAAAAAAATAAAGAAATATTTTCTAGTTTGGCATTTACATCATATAAATAGGCCACTTTTTTATCAGAAGTGTTTTTAAAATGGCACATACTGTGTTATTTAGTACATGTGTTGTTGCTGTTATTTCTTCCTGTATGATCAATTGAAAATATCCAATATCATGTTGCTGACATTACTAAAAAAAAAAAAAAGTTATTGTGAGTTTTAAATATTTAATTTTAAAAAAAATATTTTTTGTAAATAACTTTGCTACGTTACTTAATTTCTGAAAACTTAAACACAAAAATTAGCTCTCTATATTAAATATCGATATAGTTACAGCTACTTAAATTTATAATGCTGCAAAAAATTTCAAAAATGTATAGCCATATCTGCAGACTTTTACTCTCGTCGTAAATGATTTTTCCAAGTAGTAGTTAGATTGCGATTGAATTACAAATAGAGACCAAAATATTTTTTTCCTTTTGTCAGAAACTGAACACACCATTGTCTGATTATCATGCCTTTATATGTTAGTTTAAATTATTCAGATATGTTGGTGGTCCAAATGATTTATTAAATCAAGGATATGAAAAGAAAGTATAAATTTTTAAATATAAAAATGAAATCTTACAAAAAATTAATGAAAGTTGACAGCTATGTATAATAATATTCAAATGATTAAAAAAAAATATATAAAATTTAGTATTTTCAACTATTCCACTAACTATATCTACACAATGGCCTGAAGTTTTGACCATTTATTGAAAAGTTGTGGAATCAACCCTCATCAATATTTTATTCTAATGAATTATTTCATTCCTGTTTGCTAAATCTTGAAAATCTGTATAAGCCTGATGATTGTTTTTAATTTCTTAAGTTGTGTTTAAAATTTGGGGTGTTCACCTTTTTAAAATTTATTATATAAAATTTTATAGAATAAATTTTTTTATAATTTTATTACTTCAAATTTAAAAGTGCATAATAGCTAAGCAATTTTTTTTTCTCTTCATGACGCAAAATAATACTTATTCATCTTATTATTTGTTTCTTGGAGCAAAAATTATCAATTCTCTGGCCAAAATTTAATTTTCACTGGGAAGAAAGATTTCTGACTTTAAGATGTTTGATGGATTATTTTTCTCTGACAAGTCCATTGCTTTGCCACCATAAAAAAATCAGAAAACATTTGTGAACCTCTTTTCAGTTGCTTTACGATTGAGAAGAATTAATAAAATATCTGAATTATTGATTGTTTGAAAAAAATTCTTTCTTAATGCCACTGAATTTACTCTTTTTAGTTTAAGGTGAAAAGCTAAAGAATTAAATTTCATAATAAAATAGTGGAACTATATTTTGTTTTTTAAACTATCGGGTATCATCGTTCTCTATCAGGTCCCATGTTTTGTTGAATTTTTTCCAATACATGTTTTATTCTTTATAGGGTCATTTGCGGCCTGAACTACTAGGTGGAGAATTCACACATTTAGAATTCGCAAGACGGCCTGCTAGGAAAGACATTGGGGAAAAAATTTTATATCGAGATGCTTACATGTCTGGCTGGTAAGTTGTAAATTTATTTTTTAATTATGAGGCTACATATAATAAATGTATTATTAGATTCTTATATTAACATACTGTTAACAACTTTCAAACTAATCTTATCCTTCTACAATTTTTAAAAAATTCAAAAATCAATCACTCACAGAGTCAATTCAAACTGATATATTCATATGTGATTAAGTTTTTAAAGCCTTTATAACTTTTTTTCTCTTTTACTTAGTCTATTTTTAAGAATACAAGTATGTGCTTTAAGTACATTTATAATTCAAATATTTAATTCCATTTCTTTACCGCAAATTATGTCTTCTGTTTTATTGTGTCGAATAAAGTTTTAATATCAAGTGTATTCCTTTTTTTTTTTTTTTTTTAATATTAATACAATGTTTTAACTGGTAATAAAAATTGTCTCATTACCTTAGAATTTTCCATATATAAGTTATAAGTAGAATAATGATTGTAATATTTTAGGGCTTATAAAAGCATTGGCATCCCAGATCTCAAATTTCCATTAATCTATGGAGAAGGGAAAAGAGTAAGTAATCTTCTTTTCTTAAATTGAAGTTTACATTATTTTTTTTTTTGTTTTAAACTAAGGATGGAAAAATATTTCCTCTTGGAAAAAACCATCTTGCATAAAATAGATTTCTTTCAATTTAATATCAAATATTAAAACAGTTTGTAATTGCAAACCAGTTTAAAGACTCATTTAAATTTTGATGCTCTTTGATGTATCATTTTTAAATAAGTGAAAACAGAATGGCAACAATTAGAAAAAAATTAATTTAATGAATGTCTAAAGAAATTGAAATAATTGAATTTTGTAGTATTTTATGTAAATAAATATAGTAAAACCTATTTTTACAATGATACAGAGAAAACTGTTTAAATAGCATAATCAAGTTTTATTAATGCTGTTGAATTAGCACATTACATATTAAACATGTACACTACCAAAAAACTCATTTTAATTTACAATTACAAATAGTATATCCAAAATATTTATTTTGAAATTAAGTTTAATTTATGGTATTGTATTAAATTTAATTTTTTTACATGTAAGCCATTCTTATATTACTTCTAAACAGGGTTCGTGATTTTTTTGATTTTTTTAAAAAAAATCAAAAGAATCAGATTTTTTTGATTTAAATCGGATTTTTTTGATTTAAATCAGATTTTTTTGATTTTTATTCAAATACACTGTAAGAACTTTAATTTATGATTAAAAAAAATTATAAATGTTTAATCAAATTAACTTAATATTAAAACTATATTGTAACAATATTTTAGAAGCTCTAACTAAAATAATTTTTCATTATAATACATGGCTTTGAATGCATAGCAACCATTTTGAAACAAATGCATGATTAAAATTTAAAGACTAGATGAAATAGAGAATTTAAAGAATACTTCAGGGGTCTGTCTGGGTTTTTCTGAGAGGTACCTATTTTGTGAAAATTAAAAATTATATTAAAAAATCAACACAAATATAGTAAAAATATGGATTTATCGTTTCTTACGAGACACAAAAATAAAATTTTAAGAAAAAGTATTTTGTGTGATTATTCTATCATTTTTCCTAAAGTTGAATTTGTAAAGGTACCGTTAAACGGTAGTAAATTTGGCTTGGACAGACCCCTGTACTTTAACTATTAAAACAAAGTTTCAGTTAGCAAACCATAACTTTAATTTAAAATTGTGATTTCTTTTTTTTTTCTCTTGATTTTTAAAATGACAAAATAAATGTAGCAGACTGTGTTTATAAATGTAGTCATTCATCAAAAAATAAATAAATATTTAATCTATATATTTTTATATTAAAATATTCATTTTTAATTCTATATCAAAATAGATAAGTTAAGCTAAAAAAAAATTAGAAAATCTATGTATTCATTGGAATTTTTTTTCACAAAATTTCTTTATAGAAAATCAGATAATGTCAAAGATACTGTAAACATATTATGAGAAAAAAATACCAGTTAATAACCCTACTGCATCAAATAGACTTCGAAAGAGTTTGAAAGGGAAGAATGACACTACAATAGGAAAAAAAACATCTGAATTCATCAGCCCGTTTTTTTTTCTTTTTCTGTTTTTGGCATATTACGGTAATTTCTTTTTAATATAACCTCAAGCTTCAGAAATATACATTTTCCACCAATAAAATATGATGTAGATTTTAATTAACGCTTTTTCATTCAAAAGGTAGAATTTTAATTAACATTACTTGTATTATTTTTTGAAAAAAATTCATGTTTATTAATTACTTTCTACAGCTATGCAAGTCTATATTAAGACAGCATTAAATGTTTACTTTAATCTGTACTTTCAATCTCAAGAATCAAAAGATTTTTAAAAATGTAATTTCAAATGTGTTGGAATTTAACACACACCAAGAAAGAAAGTAATTTCGTTAACTAAAATTAATTAATGCAGCAATTTATTTAAATTAAATTTTAATACTAAGAAAAGAAAATAATAAAAGTATCAAAAATTTAAAACACTGTTTTTTAACTTTTAAAATCAATATATACAGATAAAAAAAATCAGTTGATTTAAATCAATGATTTTTTTAAAAAAATCATTTGATTTAAATCATGATTAAAATCGTGATTTAAATCAACAAACCCTGCTTCTAAATAGTATTGGTCTTTTTTAGTTTCTTACATTTCATCCAGTTTCTTCTGAAGTCTTAGAACTAATAGATTACATCCATACAATATTCCTTCCCTGTTTTATCTTTGTTTATATAGTATATCTTTATGTCTTTAGCATGTTGATAAGAAGTATTTATTTTTATGATCAAATATAAAATTGTTTACCTTGTAACATATTCGTAAAAACATGTTCAAAAATTTCTTTCTTTTTTTCTTCTTTGTTTCGTATTGTGATAATCATAACGTGTATATGATTTATTTATTTTTAAAAATTTCCTCATATAAACTAAATATTAAGGAAGAGCTAGCAATTAACGAGCTGTTTTCAATTTTTGTTGTCTCAGATTCAGTGTTCGATTGTTTTATATTTCTTGTTTATTTCAAGAAAAATTTGAAATTATCTGTCTTACTATAAAAAATAATTATTGCTAACATACATATCTCAATGGGTGCGAAAGTAATTTGCTGTCATGCCAGGAATAAAAAGCATACAATTAATTAACAAAAGTGCCCTAATTAAATAAATAAAAATAACATAATCAGTAGTATCGCCCATAAAAATATAGAGCTCAACATTTGCCTATTGTTTTAAATAAGTTTGGATGACAATATATTAATTTTTAGATGTTTTTTTATTTGGTACTTTTATATTTGGTGAAACTTTTATTTACTTATCTTCTGAGATGAGTCCTATGATTTGGGATGTACTAATAAACATATGCTGTAAGACCCATATTTAACAAATGGTTTGGATAACAGAAAAACACCCTAAATCGCAATTCTGTTTGCTACCTTTCTCATCCAGCTTGTTCGCCTGCTAAATCGTAATTCAAGTTTAATACAAAAGATTCATACATTTAAAAAAAATAATCTTTTTTAAGAAGTGAAAACATGTTTAGCTTTAAAAACAAATCTCTTGATATTTGTCCCAAAATACTTGTTAATCTCTATTTTCAATAGCTTCAAAAATCTTGAAGATTTTTGTAAGAACTCTGCGGCTTATTACATTTCAGTGTCATTTTCTTATTTATAAATTGGACTTGTCCCCCCCACACACACACCTTTTTAAGCATTCTGTGACAATATCACTAGAAAGTATACATGGTGTTAAGATTTCAAGATCTATATTATTGCAACCTTTTCATGTTTAAAACGTCATTATACTGTCCATTGTTCTTTTATTGCAACCAGGTTAAGAATGGTACTACTTGCAATTACTAACACTACATATTTCAAACCACCCAGCCTTTATGTAACACAGGGTGCGTAGCGTTTGTAAAAAGTACTTGAAGGTGCTTTTTTGTGGATATCGTTTTTAAAAGCTTTTAAAGGTGCTTTTTTCAGCTGGCGTTTTTAAAAAGTGCTTTTTTCCGAATAATTTTTTTTCTTCCCTTCAGTGATATCTGGTGGATCCCATGCATTTCACAAAAAATGGGGAGTTTGCTACGTAATCATTCACGCGGACTTCATGTCGTACCCACGTTATGACTTGCGCATGCGCGCACACTTGAAACCGAAGCCCGAGTGCTCCAATTCGGATAGAAAGTATCAGATCCTTATGAAATGTTTTTCTTTTTAATTTATTTTAATTTTGTTCTTGTTTATTTTATTTTACTTCTAACACTTTTTTGACGTAGGGGGTAAGGGTACTTTTGTTCTGAGTTCAAGGTCAAGTTGAATTCACTCGGTGATGTGGGAAAGTACTGATTGTGTCGATTTACGCCCGTTTCTTTTTGGGTTTTTTTTTAACGCTAAAACTGTTTATAAAAAGTTTTTGTTTTTCAATAATATCATTGATTGAATATGAATTTTTTGAGTGCTTGAAAACTTTTGTAAAGTGCTTGAAAAATTTTTAAAAAGTGCTTATTTTTGATTCAAAGATTTGGCTACGCACCCTGTAACAGTTTGTAATGCTGGATAGTGTCATTCTTTTTTTTGTTTTAAACTTGTATTTAATTATTTCATACTTCCAAAGTTTTTTCCCTTGCTAAATAAAAAAAGGCAAAGAAAAAAATTTCTAAAGAATACGCTCCTAATACATTTATTTTGTATACTAAATAGAATACTCCTTTTTCATCAGTAAATCATGAATCTTCTTAAATACAAGATCATAAGTCTATCCAACTGCACATTGTATTAAAATAATGCAAAATGTTCAAAATATGCGTCGTTTTAAAGAAAACTAGCATAACAAAAAGTTTTTTCCAAACAAAATTTATTTGTGCATGAGAGTGCATTTTGGAAATTATTTTTCTACATAGTTATCACTATTGTTTAGACATTTGTCATAGCAAGAAACCAACTTGTCAGTATCCTCTTCAAAAAATGATGCAAACAGTCACTACTGAACATTGTTTTTTGCTTTGAATGACTGTCACAATGCCTACCTCTAAAATTACTCTTCAAGTTTCAGGAGAAGCTGTAATCTGAAGGTGCACGGTCAGGACTGTACATCAGGTTATTGAGCTATAGTGATGTGTGTTGTTATAGAGCAGTGTTTCCCAAAATGTGGTACATGTACTCCCAGGGGTACGGGAATAGTTTAGCGGGGGTATGCGTTTTTATGCGATAACAAACGAAAATTTCAAAACATTTTATTTAAAAACAAAGCTAACCATGAAAATGTACTATTACATATTTTTCTATTGTCTATTTTTTGTAGAGTTAACAGTTAATAATGAGTGGTGCAACAGCCATTTGCGATTTTTAACTTTAGTAAAAAAAATTATGATAGAAAAAAATTCATTCATTTTTTTTATTAGTGGTTCACAGCGTTACGAAAAATTTTTGAAACGGTACATGAAAGTCGTAAGTTTGGGAAACACTGTTATAGAGCAACACAATCCTTTTACTGAGCATTTCATTCCTTTTGTATTGAATCACATGCAACAGTTTTCACAATGTTTCATAGTATCCATATTGCATCAATGAACAGCATTACAAAATACACGCCACAGCCAACAGGATCAGCAATCGCCTTAAACATTTTTAATACTCACTAACATGGTCCAGCTGTAATGTATGTAATTTCATAGTATTGTATTGCAGAATGCATGCCACAGCCAGTGGATCAGCAATCATCTTAAATTTTTCAAATGCTCAGTAACGTGGTCTGGTGGTGAAATATGTGAAAATGCAAGGAGCTGCGACACTACCACTATTGTGACAGTAGATGGAAACGGTACAGGCTTTCCGGAACGTTTCGCATATCAATTTAAACTGCCAACCTTATGACATTAAAATAAATTTGACCCACTTTTCCATAAATTATATAATTTACTTTACTTTACATTAATTATCGATTTCTTAACTTATAGTTCATTTTTCATTCTAGAGTCGGGTCTTGGCAACTATTGGTGTCACTCGAGGTTTTGGAGACCACGATTTGAAAGCTTTGAATACAGATATTGACATCAAACCATTTCTGTCACCTGAACCAGAGGTATTAACAGCAGTTTGCTCCAAAGTTGAAATAACACAGAATATGTAATCTAAGAAACAATTTAATCAAAATTTTTAAGCTATTAAAATGCATTGTCTGAGAAGTTTTAAGTGTTTCAACTTTTAACCAAAAAGTTTAGTCTATTAATTTATGTCATTGTCTTGAGTTTTTTAATTATTCAAATTAGAGTTATTATAATTCTATCTTCCTACTATTCTTCCACGTTATGTGAGAAGAAGGTTACCATTTGCTTAAAAGCTATTAAAGGTGTCAGCCAATCTTACACTTCGCTATGAAATAGTGTGGGGGAAAAAAGAACCATTGTATTTAGTTCATTTCTTTTTGTCTGCTTGACACAAATGCAAATAAGTAATTTGTAGTTGTGGTTGATTCAAATATGCTGAATTCATGTATAAAAACGGTCCTAATAAGTAGTGAATGTGAAGCACAGAAACAAGCTTTAATTCATTTTTCATGACATTTAGCATTTTCAAGACATACATATTTAAATAAGACATACACACATATTGACATGCATATATATATAAATCAAGAAATAGCCGTAATGGTAACAGCTTTTCCTCCGATTTAAATTAGTTCCTCCATCTGATTTGCCCTCAATTTTTTACTGTAGCATCTATTACTTTTATACTTAAAATATATATATATATAGCTGTAGCACATAAGTATATGTTTACTTATATATTAAGGAATCTTGAAGTTTTAAAATTCCAGGTGTGGGTCATTTTCCCTAACTGACTTTACAGTCCTGATTAACACCAATGTTAGAAATATTTTATATTGATTCTCTTCTCTCTTTGAAGTTAGGTGCTAAGAAAGTCTTTATTTTGTTTAAAAATTTTCTTGTTTTATAAATAGAAGTTTCTTTTAATAATGCTATGTAATAAAACCCAAAAACTATTATTCTGTATTTTATTAAATTTATTATTTTGTCCAAGATTTTTCTGTTTTGTAAATGAAAATTCTGCACTAACTTAAAAACATTGTATGTATCTGTTATTTTAAGGTCCTTGTGTTTGATCTAATGAAAGAAGATTTGACAGATTCTGATGTTCTGGTAATGGGTACTGATGGATTATGGGATGTGACCACAAATGAAAAAGCTGCAGAAGTTGTACAAAAATCCCTGGATCATTTTCCTGCCAACGATGCTCAACGATATAAGTATAGGTAATATTTATTTTTTTTGTATTGTATTTATTTATATATTTATTGTATAATATTTATTTGTATTTGTATTGCTCTTATTCAGATTGGGCATCTTTTTTAAAAGAAGTTTTAATTTACTGAATAAATTTTTTTTTAGTTTGTATAGTTTAATAGGGTCGTTGTGAGCAAATGCAGATTATGTAAAATCTTAAATTATCAAATGGTGATATTTTAAATGAATTCTTTAAATTTATAATATCTACAGGCATGTTTTTTTTATTTCAACTTAAAAATTTATGTTACCATACCTTCTCTGAAAATACCAAATATCATGAAATTAAATAATTAATTTTGTTGATTGATTTGTGGTACAATTTTGTAAATGTAAAGATCATGCCAATTCAAAATACTAACCTTACTGGTTTACGATTAAAAAAAAAAAGCTTTTATATTTTACCAAATCGGATTGAGAAACACTGATCTAAACGACTATGTAAATTATGATATTGAGGATACAAAGGTAATAAAAATTAAACTTTACATTTTTTATTGCACTCACAATGTTTTTTTTTCCTGGTCAGATACACATCAGCTGCTCAAGACTTGGTGATGCACTCCCGGGGTAAACTGCGTGAGAAGAATTGGCGAACTGCTGACAGCAAAATGGCAACAATCGATGATATCAGTGTATTTGTCATACCTCTGCGTCATTACAAAGATGAATATATTCAGTGGCTTGATAGTCTAAATTAAATTAGTCTTCTTATTGGACCTGTCATGTGATGTCAGAAAAACTTTTCTTTAATGTTAATGGGATCATTCAATTGAAGAATGAAAACATTTTAAAATATTGATTTCTAGTAAAAATTATATAACTTGTATATAAACTTATTTATTATAAATTTGGATGATTTTTCTTTGGTGAAAACTTTTTAATGAACAAAAATATCTGTTTCTCTCTTTTTAAGTCTATTGTTTTTGTATATGTATAAAAGTTTGCTGCATCAGCATTTAAAAAAAAGTTAATAATAATATGAAGATATATTTTGTACATGATTTTTATCTTTTTTTTTTTTTTNTTTTTTTTTTTTTTTTTTTTTTTTTTTTTTGTACAGCTTTGGTTTTTGTTTGTCTTTCCACGAATGAATGTTGTTGATTGTTTTTGCATTACTATTGTGTGCCTTTTATTTTTAAGTTTAATTCTTGTATCTCGAAGTTAATAGAAGGTGATAGTTAAATTCATAGTCAAATATTTTTTTTATTTTTTTATTTCATCTTCGAATGATTGGGAAACATGTGTACTTGTTGATTAACAAAAACTAGTCAAATTTCTGTCGATACTGGATATTTACAAACACTTTGTTAGCTTTGGATTTTCAATAATAATCTAAATTTTTACTTTAAGAAAATTTAGAAAAAATAAATATGCTATTGTCTTTGATAATTGTTTTGCCCTCTTAATTTAAATTTTAGCTTTTCCTAGATTCCTTAATGGTTTCCTGATTTTCAAATTGTGCTCTGTAATTCAAATATACTCAATCTTTTAAATGTTATTTGTAACATGTATTTACAAATAACAATTTGTATTGCTTGAGAATTAAACATCACTGTTCATATTCACAATTCAGGATTAAGTAAATCTGAAATCACAATAGTAATTAAATAACAATAAGTTATTAAAAAAAAGTTAACAAAATTAATTTATATTGTTCGACAGTAGAAAATAATACTTAAAAAATTGTTTATTTTCTAATATGCTAATGTAAGATGATTTTATGTTTATAGAAATACATTTATTTATTGACTGTTAATAGTAAATTTTCGAATATAGAAGAATAAAATGTCATGACTTAACTAAGGAAAAGCATATATATGAGTTTTTGTTTTTTAAAAAAAGTTTTTTTCTAAGTGGGTTAAAATGATTTTCAGACCTGAACTGATTAGCTTTGCATGGACAATTAAATCAAAATTTATTTACATAGTTAACTTGTGTTAATGGTTAGCATTGCTTGCATGTTAGGATTTTGTTTATAGCTTTGCTCATATATAATTATTTTATGGAAATGTTTTTTTAGAAGGTTGAATTTTGTTGCATAATTTAAAAACCTTGATTTATTATTATGATCTGTGATTATTTTAAATAATAGAGCTGTGTTCATATTAGAGCTTTATTCTATTTTTCAATAATACCTCCACTGTAAATATCTCCTAAGTGAAACAAACTTATGTTTTGAGCATGTAAAGTGATAATATGACTAAAAGTATTATTGTAAATAAATTTATTTAATTTTTTCTTTTTGTGTATTCATATGCATTTATTGCACATATTTTATTTCTATCTCTTTTTTTTTTTTTAAATCTGAAATATAAACAAATTTTCATGATGAGAACCTATATAACTATTTTTTTTTTTTTTTTTTTCGAAANTTTTTTTTTTTTTTTTTTCAAATAATAAAATTTTTAGCTTCTGGCTAAAATCTTGGAATATATAAATTTTTCTGTTATTGAACCTTCGATCAAACTAAACCTTGAAGACTTCTATGAAATCTGATCTACAATTTGGTTATTTTTCGTAATTAGGATAAATTCTGGTGATACCAAAATGATATCGAGCCAATACCTTTTGAGTAAAAAAAAAAAAAGTTAAACAATTTTCTGTTTATCTGAGTTTCTCTTTCAATTTTTATTACAGCCCTTTTAATAAGTTAAGTTTTAATACTTCTTAGGTCAAACCCGAAGTATAAAGAATGATTTTGTATTGGTATTTGCACCAAAATGGTCTGAGAATTAGCACATGCAAAAAACTGATGAAAATCTGTCAGAGATGGGGACAGGTAGGTATTTTTATTTATGTCACACTAGAGCTGCACAATGGGCCCTGGGAAACATCCCTCAGGATGATCTGAAGACATACCATAACAATTTTGATCCTCTGCAGAGAAGATGGCTCCTTTGCTTTGGTAGCTCAACAACCTTCGCGCAAAGTTGAGCATTTTATGGTAAAACAGTTTAGCAAGACAATACCGCACGACCTCAGTCCCTACGTAGTTTGATCAAAATGGTCACCCACCCGCTTATTGACTGCAGCCAGTGATGCTTGACTTTGGTGTTATACCAGTCAGTCCACAGCAGGACCAGAAGGGGACAAAAGTATATTGGTAGCCACTTCCGGGCAACTGACCATTCATATATATGTTTGCATTTGAGAAAAAATGTAAATTAAAATAAATTACCTTACACGAATCCAAGCAATAGCAGGAAAGCAAGAATAATCCAACTTGTATCAATAACCAGAAGTCAGTAATAATTCAACTAGCATCAAATGTTAACAGTTTGCTATTGTTTAGACTTGGAATTATATGTGTTTTATTTCTTTTACTTCTCAAAATTCAATCTTTTAAATTGTATTTCACACATACATTAATGTAATGGTTTAAATAAAGGAATAATATTTTATTTAAAAGCGGAACCAATCCCGGTACGTAACAGTAAGATGTCTACATGATGACTACTACGTTGAGAAGGATGAAGATTCAATCTTGGAGAGAGTTTTTATATTTTTCTGCGTAATATATTTAAGTTTTAATAGATCTTACTAACGTGAGACTGATGAGTTTCCCATGGCAAATTTTGCTTTTTTGCTCATCATAGTTTCTATACATATAAAGCTTTAAAAAAAAAATACTTTAAATTAGTTTCACAAAAATGATTTGGCTATTTGTGAGAGGGATATCATATTCAGAAAGATCAATGTAAAATATTTTTAACAGTATATAATATGTAAATTATGTAGGGCTATTCAAATAGATTGACACAATAAAGTTATTCAAATCTATAGGAATTTTCAAAATACACAATACATGTAGGGATTTACCTAATCATTATATAACACGAAATTGACACAATTTTGTAAATTTTTATTTAAAGAAGTATAAATTAGACATGAATGACCTTTCTAAATAGAAATGAAAAGAGGGACTTCTAAGTTTGCTGTCTGAAAAACATCCAATGAACTGTTCTCTAAATAAAAAACGTGAAACTCAGCGGTGCAACAGCCAAGGCATATTTTGCTCATCCCAGTTTCCTTGACCTTGGGCTCTAGTGTGCAGATGTCCCAGTTGGGAAGGTGGTCTGCCAAATGCGGAACTTCCAGTGTTGTGTTCCTAAGCATGCTTGGTGCTAATTTTATCAATTTACTTAAAGAATGAAAGGCTGACTCAACCTTGCTGGGCCTGAGAATAGAACCCAAGACCTGTGTCACAGGAATGCATTGTCATTTCTTTATCACGCGTCGGAGAATTTTTCTCAACTAATGTTTTTTTCGCATGCAAAACAAAACCTGATTGGTGAGTTTTTCGTTGTTTTAAAATAATTGTCAGTTTCTCTTTCACATGTGAAAAAAATCACCTTCAGTGAAAATGACCCTTAAGTGGTAGCCACATAAAAAGCATGTCTAGTGTTACTGAGCGTAATACAGCAAAGAGAGGGTTCCACTGTTTAACTAGAGTTGATAGATGTGGAAAGTGACATGGTAGGGATCAGGAACTAATACTCAAAACTGATGATGAAATGCTTGTCTGATCAAACTGCCATTGGTAAAATAAAATAAATAAGCTATACTGCTGTGGTAAAATAAACAATGAACTTTTTATTTGTACCTAGACTGTGCATCTCATGCATTGCAATCTAGGATAAGTCATTTAATTCATAAGTTAAGTTTTTTACCAATAGATCGAACTCGACTATTGAAGGTAACACAAATAAACTGATGCTGAATATTTACTCTTCTTAGGAGTATTCTTCTAAACAAATGAAATAAAAGAGTGACATTTGTTTAGAATTTAAGAAATATAGAGCATATGGTATTTTGGATTCCCAAGATATTTTTTCCAAAAATATTATATCATAAACAATTCTTAATAAGCTTTTTTGAAAAAGTAATTTACCATCATGTATTAGGTTTTTGATTATCTTTGTTTATAAGCAACGTAGGGTTAAGAAAGTTTTTCACACAAATTTGTTTCTCCAGTCAAAACAATAATATATTTAAACTCACAATAAATGTAAAATCAAAAAATATAAAAGCAATGAAATGTCAGTAATAAATTGTCTATATAAAATTACTATCTACATAACTGTATTCTTTAAATTAAAAAAAAAATCATTAGAAATTCTGAAAGTATAGGGGTAAGTAAAGTAAAGGGGGAGAGAAAAGTAGAAGGCAACATTAATTAATGGGTGATAAATTTGTGTAAGAGCCGTGAGTTGTCAAAAAAAAACGTTTTTTTTTTATTTTTTTTGTCGCAAAATAGATTTAAAAAACATTGCATAGTATCAGTTTCCATGCTTCAAACACAATTATCACGTTGTCAGCCAAATGGATGTGAGATAGTACCCCGCAATGTGAGACAGTAACCCGGAAGTATAGGCGGTATGGAGCTTGCAGCGTATCCATCCATATATCTAACCTATAGCAAACTTTTACTTCAAACTCACCAGAATTTCTAAATAACATTAATATCTTATGAAATACGGCAGATTTGAGCTCAGAAATTGTCTAATTTACTTTTATTGAAAAAAAAATTATCCGTTTGAAAAATATCGCCTCGCAGAATAAGCTGTAGTAAGCAGATGCAAACTTTCTAACAGGAACTGTAGCAGGTATTGAGCTTGTTATTTACATTTATATGGACGATGGTGTTTTCGACACTTGGAAGCGCTGCAAACTTTATGCCGTTAATACTTCCGGATTACTGTTTCCGATGTATTTTAAAGCCATTTGGCTCACAACGTGTTTTAGGATTCCTGCAAACGTAGATTTTGAATATTTATTACTAAACTTAATCTTACTCCTCGAACAATATGCTTACACTAACGTACTATAAAAGTTGATGATGCGCTGTAAGATGGTGCGCAGCTGGCAACACGAACAAACAGTAATAAACAAATGGAAAAAAGCCAAATCAAGGCTGCCAAAAAAGCGAGTTATTCAAAATCTAACAACCATGTCACCTTTTTTAACAATATATCTCGAAGTAACTGAAACAAATTTTCACTTCAAACTCACCAGAATTACATAATAACATTAATATCTTATGAAATACGGCAGATTTGAGCTCAGAAATTATCTAATTTATTTCTTTTATTGAAAACAAAATTATCTGTTTGAAAATATCGCCTCGCAAAATAACATGCAGTAAGCAGCTGCAAACTTTCTAAAAGACATACAATTCGAGATTGTTATTGTTTACATTTCTGCTGAAAACACCATACATAGAAAGTGTTTTAAAAAGATTATTTCCATGCAGCGCTAATTCATAGATTATCTTCGGAAAAAAAATCGATGTGATTGACAAAATATCTTCTTGCTGACAGTTAATAAAATTCATATTGTGCGTGCATAAATATTTTTTTTAAAGAATATTGTATTTTCTGTACGATTTATAAAATCAATAAACTATTCATTCAGTGTGTGAAAATTCTCCATGGGTAAAACCTTGGCAAACAAAGATAATCTGATGGATTCTGATAGATGATGAGATTCTGGTGGCCAAGGGTAAAACAAATATTATTATTAAAGGCAATCTCATTCTATGTAGCAACACTAACAACAAATAATCTCTGTGCAATGTGTGTCATAGTTGCAATGATGTTATAACAGAAAATTATTTTCATACATGGAAATTTAATGTTTGTGTTGATAAGTTTCCAAGTATAGTTCATAATTATTCTTCGTTATTATAAAACTTTTTGCTTCCGTTCTAAGAATTCTATAAAAAGAAGTAGTTTCATTTCATTGCTTTGTGTTCATAATATGGAAATAATTTATTTAAGCACTTATTGTGATAAATTAATAAAGGAAAAAAGAATAATTTGGTTTAAGTAACACTTAAAACGAACTTTTCATGCAGTGCATTTTTAAACAGTTTAGTTTAAAATATATTAAAATTACTGTTCTGTTACAGAAAATTAACTGTGTGTCACTTTCATAAAACATGTATTTATTCACAAGATATTGAAATTTTGATTTTCCTGTTCACACTTTAGAAAATATTTTCTGTATTCCTGTATTCAGTTTGTGCAATTTAATACTCATAAATGGAAATAAACTTTGTTGACTTTCTCGTATTTACGTTAATGAATAAGAGCTTGCTCTTATTGTGCATGATAGAACATTGATATAAAAATTGGAAATGAAAGTTTTTTTTAAATCTAATTTTAAATTAGTGTAAGTGTAAAAAAATATTTTTTGCCTTTCTTGGTTTATAATGAACAATATTTCAGCAGTGTCTTTGTGATTAAAATGGTAATGAAATCAAATTTGATAATTTCATGTTCATAATAGTTATTGTCATGTTAATATAATAAAATAAAATAATTTAATTCAGTTTAGTATCTTGGTATGTTCGACAATAGAGAAATATTAAAGTTGGGTTGTGAAAAATCAAAAGTTTTACCTTTAAATAGGATTTAAATTAATACTTTCATGGATGCACCTATTACTAAATCCTATTTCTTCAGTATTATATTTTACTTAATTTAAAATTTAGTCAAAAAAAGTGACTTGATACAGCGTGCTCTTTTTTTTTGTATCATATGTTATTGAAGTCCTTCTTTAATTCAGAATAAGTATCATCCTGTAAGTAACTCTTATTCTTGTTATTGTAATTAGAAGTTTTTAGTGAAAAGTCTGACCAAACACTGTAAAATTTATACTGGTGAGAAGCCTTTTTGTTGTAGTATATGTAATAAGATATTCTAAATGAATGATTATGAATAGTTGTGTTCATACTGGGGAAGAACCTTATTCTTGTACTATATGTAATAAGAGTTTTTCAGAAAAAAGTAATATGACTAAACACAGTCTTGCTCATACAGGTGAGAAACTTTATTCTTGTAGTATATGTTATAAGAGTTTTTACCTAAAAAGTAGACTGAAAAGACACAGTCATGTTCATACTGGTGAGAAGCCTTATTCTTGTAATATATGTAATAAGAATTTTTCAGAAAAAGGTAGTTTGAAAAGACACGGTCTTGTTCATACTGGTGAGAAGCCTTATTCTTGTCTTATATGTAATAAGAGTTTTTCAGAAAGAGTATATCTGATTAAACACTGTCGTGTTCATACTGGTGAGAAGCTTTATTCTTGTAGTATATGTAATAAGAGTTTTCCACGAAGAAGTGATCTCAAAACACATGGTCGTGTTCATACTGGTGAGAAGCCTTATTCTTGTAATATATGTAATGAGAATTTTTCAGAAAAGGGTAGTCTGAAAAGACACGGTCGTGTTCATACTGAGGAGAAGCCTTACTCTTGTCTTATATGTAATAAGAGTTTTTCAAGACAGTGTGGTCAGAAAAGACACAGTCGTGTTCATACCGGTGAGAAGCCTTATTCTTGTAATGTATGTAATAAAAGTTTTACACAAAAAGGTAGTCTGAAAAAACACTGTCGTGTTCATAATGGTGAGAAGCCTTATTCTTGTAGTATATATAATAAGATAGGCTCAATGAATGATTATGAATAAACACAGTTGTGTTCATACTGGGGATAAACCTTATTCTTAATAAGAATTTTTCAGACAAAAGTAATATGACTAAGCACAGTCTTGCTCATACTGGTGAGAAGCTTTTTCTTGTAGTATATGTCATAAGAGTATTTCTGAAAATTCACTGTTGTGTTCATACTGGTGAGAGGCCTTATTCTTGTAATATATGTAATAAGAGTTTTTCACGAAAAAGTCATCTCACTATACACGGTCGTGTTCATAGTGTGTGTAGTAAGTTCACAAGTGAACTTATTACACACGGTTGTGTTTATACTGGTGAGAAGCCTTATTCTTGTAATATATGTTGTGACATTGTGTCACTTAATCTCAATTTTCTGTAGGGATTATGACCTAAAAATTAGGCCGACCCCTTTCCTGTGACGCCTCACTGTCTGTCGACCTTCATGCCTGTGACCTTCGGCAGCCTTTGATGTCAGCACATGGCAGTTTGAACGATATAGTCACAGTTTGTGTATAATTGTGATTTGATTTTTGGCAGTTCATCTGTTCACTTCAAGTCCCTTTTAGACACGATTCTGCGGCATTTTAGGGAATTTAACTTCAATCTTGCTGTTTCTATAAATACCGCCCTCTTTTGGGAGGGAGAAGCATACGTAAAAACATCTTCATCCACTACGATCTCTTAACAGAGATTTTTCACATTTATTTCTTCCACCCCCCGAGGGTGTTTCCGCTGACATTCAATGGCAATCTTCATTGTGTATAGTCTTCATTGATGTGACCATCTCTTCTTAAAAAAAAAGTCAATTTATGGCTTTCGATATAGTTAACATGCTAAAATGGAAGTTATTTGTGCTGTCTTCGTTGTGCATAGTTTTCTTTGAAGTGACCATCTCTTCTTAAAGAGTCAATTTATGGTTTTTCGATATAGTTAACACGCCAAAATGGAAGTATTTCGAGATAGCGTCAATGCCATGTTGTGGTGTCTTCAATGTTGTGTCTTGCCCACCGCTCCAGATACCCACCAGTTGTACCTCTGTTTTGAAAAAAAATTCTCTAATTCCTGAGTTACTGTGTTATGTGATGCCTTGCCTTTGAATATTGTGACGTGTTCTTTCAGTCGATGCCATGTTGTGGTGTCTTCGATGTTGTGTCTTGCCCACCGCTCCAGATACCCACCAGTTGTACCTCTGTTTTAAAAAAAAATTCTCTCATTCCTGAGTTACTGTGCTATGTGATGCCTTGCCTTTGAATATTGTGACATTGTGTTCTTTCAGCGATCTGCATAAAATAAAAAATGTTAGTGCCCGTAAAGTGGACTCACTCATTCTTATAGTGGACTAGTGGATTTTTTCTTGTTGGTGAAAAAAAAACAACTTCCATGGAGAGTAAGAGGTATGTTTTTTGTGAAGTGTATTCTTCTGGGTAAAAAAAAAATTGCAGCATGATGTTTTGTGCAAACCTATATAGATTTGTTCGGCCCTAATTATCTCTCCTAAATTTTTATTATCATTAGCTCCTTTTTTTATTTTTCATAACAGCACCAACCCAACATAACATATGTAATAAGAGTTTTTCACAAAAAATAATCTGACACGACACAGTCTTGTTTTCATACTGGGGAGAAGTCTTTTTCTTGTAGTATGTGTAATGAATATTTTTCAGAAAGAGTTTCTGATTGAACACAGGCGTGTGCATACTGGGGAGAAACCTTATTCTTGTAGTATATGTAATAAGATTTTCACAAAAAGGTCATCTCACTACACACGGTCGTGTTCATGCTATTTAAAAGCGGTAGTCTTATATATGTTAAAAGCAGTATGTTTATTATGATGTTATAATAATAAACATTATTATGTACATTTTTATGTTTTATATGTTGTTTTTTTTCGCATGAGGTCCAACTAATTTATTGTAGCTTTATTCATACTGGTGTAAAACCTCATTCTTTTAATTTTTCAAAAGCTGAATTTCTAGTTTGTGTTTTCGCTGATGAGAAACCTTTTTATTGTAGCATAATGGAGTAAGAGTTTTTCTCAGAAATGTCATCTTACTGGATACAGTATTGTAGTCTAAGTACAGTATTGTACTAGAGACACACTGTATTTTTGAAGTATGTGATAAATAGTTTTTTTAAGTAATAGTGAAATGTTTGCATTCATATTCTTGTTGATTTTAAAGCAATATTCTTGTAGTATATGCAATAAGTGTTTCATAACATCAGCTGATCTAACTAACCATAGTTGTATTGATCTGGTGAGATACCTTATTCTTGTCGTGCATATCAAAAAAGATTTTCTTTAAACTTATCATATTCTGACTCATACTTGTGATCTGACTCGTACTGATGTAAGTTATGTATTCTTGCATCATGTTTTCACTATAAAGTAAAATAACTGGGATAAAACTCCTTTTTGCATTTTTCACGAAAGTGTCATTTGATTAAAAGCAGTCTTATGAAATTAAATAATTATTTTATTTTGAAATTTTTATGATGCAGTTTTAATTATATTTTTTGTGTATTTATTTAGAAATAAGGCCTATAATAAACAGCCTTACAAACACATCATAGTTGACATTAACCGTGGTTTCATGGACTATACTACTTTATTTACAACCAGGTACGCTTGACCAAAATAAAAATTGTTATTTAATTTCTTAGCATTAGAATCCTGAGTTAAAGGTCATATGTTTTTTTTCATGTAAAAAAAGGAATAAAAAAGACTTATAGCAACTTTTACTTAAAAATTACCGGTAACATCTTTTATTTAATGAATCTTTCCTAACACATGTTGTACAGTTAATTTTTTTTTTTTTTTTAAATACAAAGTATTTTATGTTAGAAAGTTTACTTTCTTTTGAAGTAAAATTGATTTATGAAACATATAAAGTAGTGCAGATTGCTTCATAGAATCAATTTCTTGTTCTTCAAGGCAAGTCTATTAAATATTTACTTATCATAAATTTTTTTTTTATCACATTTGAACGTTTTTGAGCCTATATTCAACCAAAAATTTGAAGAATGCACAAGCATACTCAAACTCTTAAAAAATAATCGAAATTAGTAAATTATAATTAAGTTTTCTTAATTCCAAAAACTATTTAACTAGATTTAATTAAATTTAATAGGCAAATGATTTTAATTAGTCATTTTGGAATAGCTGCCGAGATCATTCCTTAAAAAAGTTTTGTCATGAGGTCCTGATGTATAAGTGTGTGATATTTAATTTGTAGTTCTTTTCTTATAATGGTTCAGCACATTTTCAATATCTTGTTATAAATATTACTCTTTTTCCAGAGACGGTTTAAAATAAAATGTACTTTATATAATTTTATACTTATACTGTGTATTATAACATAATGGATAAAGAAATTAAGTTTAAAAAAATTTTCAAAGATATTTTTTAAAAAATATTATTTTTAGTACAATTTCTATATCTTGTACAAAATATATTTCTATTTTTTGTTTATAGACAATTAAAATAAAATTCACTTACTTTAAAATTGCATATGCAAATTTTTTAATTAAATTTTTTAAATTTGTTAAAGTCATTCTTTACAATTTATTTTATTTTATTTTTTAAGAATTTTTTACTTTTGTACTTGAGTGAGTGTTGCATTTTGCATTATTTTAGATAATTGTGGCATCTAGTGGTGAACTTTTACTTTCAATGTATGTAGTTACCTGTGACGACAGTTACTAACTGATATTATTAATCTTTCTAGATTTATCAGGTATGCGCTAGAAAACTTACTTTTGATTTTCCATTTGCTGAATAATTATTTTTCAATCTATTTTATTAGAAAATAATTATCCACAGTTCTTAATTTACCTTCCTAAGTACAGGGTTGTCACAGGCGACTAAAATGCAACTATTTTTGGCATGAGGCAACTATGGCAACTTTTTTGGCCTGAAAAGTCAAAAAAGCAACTATTTTCAGGAAAAGAAGACTATTGGGAGACTTTTCTGTATTCCTAGCAATGTTTTTTTTAAAGCATAAATTGGGTGGAAAATCTGCACCCCACAAGATAGTTTCTGAGCACACTTAACTTTTTTTTCTTAAAAATAAAAAATGTTGAAAATTTTGAATTCCAAATTTGAGTCTTCACTTTTTAATTCGTTCAATCTGCACAGACTCCATTATAAGTCTATTTCATTTCTCAATCGCCTTTTCAATGATTATTGCTACAAAATTCTGGTCCCGCTGTGGACTGATTGTTAAGACACGGTTCCCTGCAGATCACCGAAGTCAAGCATCACTGGCTATGGTTAGTGTGCGGGTGGGTGACCACTTGGATCAGTCTGCGTAGGGACCGAGGGTGTGCGGTATGAGTCCTCGTTAATCTGTTTTACCGTAAAGTTCTCGACTTCGTGTGCAGGTCGTCGGGCTACCGAAGCGGGGGTGCCATCCCCTCTGCAGAGGATCAAAATTGTGATGGCATGTCTTCGGATCATCCTCAGGGGTGTTTTCCAGACCGTCGCCAATAGCACTTCGTGCAGCCCTAGTGCGACGTAAATTAACTACAACTACATCAAAATTATTTTGTGTAACATACATTACCCTATAGTAAAAGAAGAGACACTTTCAGTTTTTGACATCTTTTTAAATTTCTCAAAAAATACAGACACGATTATTTTGTAATTTAAAGGTGTTAAGGTCATGCAATTTTTATATTTATAAATAAGTTACAAAGCTTTCACAGGTTAAAAGGACCGACATTAAATTGCGAACAAAAACAAGGATTTTTGAACACCCTATAAGTTTTGAGTATTATAAAGTGCTACGAGCTCTCTGCTTTCGCTTATAGCTCTGTATTTCAATAGGTAAGGCTTAATTTAGCCTATCAAGATTTATATGAGCTCTGAGGCTCTTCTTGAAATTCAATATCAGTCAGTATCTATTTTTTTATAGGTCAGCTTGCAATGATTACTTCTGTTGTTATTTTCAATAATTGAATTGAATTTCGTTAACCTAGCTCATAGATTCTGTGGCGACCGCCACCTATCGTTTAATACTTTCACTGCGCTGTAGTAATAAAACTTGTTAAGTTGGTTATGTGAATTTGTGATTATTGTTAAGTTAATTCACCTTCTGATCTATACTTACTACAAACTACACGAGTTTACAATTCTCAACCTTTTTAACGTTGCCTATCCCTTAAGGAGCAAAACACATCTCAGCCCTCCCCCTTTGTTGAAAGTCCAGTTATTTAGAGCATGGGGACGGAGGGGGTGTATTGAAATATAAAAGGCATAATTTTTTAAGAAAAAAAAATGCGTTAAATTTGTTTCGTTTTTTTTTAATAATGTGTACGTTAATTCGATACTTTTCTCCTGCCAGGTAATCACAGTCTAATTGTCATAATCAAAATAAATACGGTAATGAAAAAAAAATACAACAAAGCAAACTATGCTTAAAAAGAGTCATTTGATCTCAATGAAATAATTTTTAAAAAAAACACCCAAAAATAACTTCCTTGCACTAAAAAGTAATATCGACGGAACAATAAAGTAACTATGTCAATGGGATGATTGTACTTGATGGTTCAGAGCCAGTTTCTTAACGTTCGATTTAATTATTTTTAGTGAGGTGAAGACGCAAGTATCTTCGTTGCACGATTTCGAGTCGATTTCTCTTTTTGCGACTAGATCCGTAACAGCACTGAATCCATGTTCGACAAGGTAGGAGAAAGTGAGGGCAATTAAAAAAAAATTTGACGTTATATAGTCCACAGTCCAGGGGGTAGAGGCGACTAGCGTTACATTGAAGCCAAATTTTGTGAGACACTCACCATTTCAAAGCTTCATTAGTTTAAAGTTCGACCAATTCCTCCTGAATGTGAACCGCTGCTGTTTCAATATTCGCAAAAGGGTTCATAACTAATTGAGGGACTTCTAGGGATCTTTAAAACGGTCCGAATAGTCCATGTACAAAGAGTCAAGGTGTTGACAATATTCTTGTGTATCACCAGAGAGAATTTCGTCATTCTTTTTAATATACGATAAGATTAGAAATTGACTAAACTCATTCCTACCTAAATTCTGCTTTCGTGAATTTTTTCAGAAAGGTAGAAATAACTGATTTTGAAGGAATCAAATTGAGCTTGAAGTTGTAAATTAATGCCATTACATTTTGCAAATAAAACCGTCAGCGTCAATCTATCAATCTGTCTCTCATAGCTACACCTCTGTCTTTGTGAAACTCAGCCCAGAGTCGAAAAGATTCAAAAACCTATTGAGACAGGCGCCTTTGGATAGCCAGTGAATCTCGGAGTGTAGTAGCAAGTGATATTCTTCATAATTTTTTTACACAGCTGTCTGAATCAATCGTTGAGAGCATTACTGCGAATTTTGTTCTCAGCAGATATGACATATCGCAATGACTGATGATGCAAACAGTCACCGAGATTTCCCCCCCCCCTACTATATGATGTCTGTGAATCACACGCAGTGAACAGCTAAAATATCTGGTACCTTCCTCTTCAAAACCGCGATAAACCCACGTGGGTTTCTTGCCTTGTCGAACCACTATTGCAGGAGCACCATCAGTGGCAACTAACATAATATTCGCAAGAGGAATGTTTTTCTCTTTAAAATAATCTTGTGACAATATTTAAAATAGATTCACTTTTGGATTCTTACATTACAATCAAGCAAAAAGCTTCTCCTCAATATTTTATTTTCGTTCATAAACCGGACGTACGCCAACAGAAAAGACAAGCACTGACCGCAGCCAGTGATCTGCTGGGAACCGTGTCTTAACGATCAGTCCATTGCGGGACAAATAAATGCATAAAAAGTTCCCTGTATTTATAATTGTCTATAACTTTAATGGATGTTCCTGTAAACTTTCAGCAAGTGTATTTAACAAGCCATAACAAATATAGGGATGGTGTTTTCGACACTAGGGAGCGCTGCAAGCTGTGTACCGCTTATACTTCTGGGTTACTGTTTCCGGTGTATTTCAAAGCCATTTGGCTCACAACGAGCACATTTTATTAATGTTAAAATCATAAAGGGTATATAATTTTAACATTAATTGTGGAATAGTAGTGTTAAGTAGTAGTAACATGTGGTTTGATCAATAATAAATATGTAAACCTAACATATGAAAAAAAATCGTTATAAAACACCTCTTACCTTGTCAATAATATATGCCAACTTTCAAATTTAAACCTGAATTATAATGTGTAAACTTTACCTTGCTCCTCGAACAATAACAGCAACGTAATTTGGTGCACAGCTTGCAGCACGAACAAACAGTAATACACAAATGGAAAGAGGCCAAATCAAGACTGCCATAAAAGCGAGTTATTTAAAATCTAGCAACGGTTGCTAGATTTTGAATAACTCGCAGGGCCGGATTTAAGCTTGGCGGGGCTCTTAGCTATTGAAAATGATGGGGCCCTTATAAGCTCAATTCTTTTTCTATACACCTAAAGTAAACTGTCATTATTTTTTATTGTTGAGTATTAACATTAANTCTAATGAAGATCAGCTTATTTGAAACTCTGAAATGTGACACCCATATATAACTTGGTGAATGATAGATACGTGATACCGAAAACTAAACAAAAGCATAAGCACACAGCTGTTTGGCGATTTGCGAGACGCTCCTTCAACGCCGATAGATATTTTCGCCAACCCCTTTACAATCTACGGTATGTTTTGTCAATACGCCAACGGTTGCTAGATTTTGAATAACTCGCAGGGCCGGATTTAAGCTTGGCGGGACCCTAAGCTACTGAAAATGATGGGGCCCTTATAAGCTCAATTCTCTTTCTATACACCTAAAGTAAACTGTCATTATTTTTTATTGTTGAGTATTAACATTAAATTGTTAAAAAAATTGATATTATTTGATTGCTAAATGTGATTGTGATGAGAACCTTTCTTTGATTGCACATAATTTTTGAACGAGGAAAAAAAAGTTACTACAGAAACATATTTTAAGATCATCATAAGCACATTTAAAGCAAAGAGTAAAAATTTGGCATGCAGAAAAAGCCATTATATATTTAACAGTTTTTTCTTTTTTTTTCTTCTAATTCTGAATACATGTTATTTGTAATTTTAGATGATTTTTTGCAAATTTTTTTCTCAATTTTTTTTTTTTTTTTTTCACGTTACATTTTGTTTTGCTGCTCAAAATCTATAAGCCTTAGAAACATGAAATTATGAAGCTGTGCAGAAAATATGCAAGGAGTTAGAAAGAATACAAGAAAATACAATTTAATTATTTTTTTTTACACCTGCCTTTGAACAACCGACTCAATTGTGAGTTTACGACTACCAATGTTAAACTCCGTAGCCTTGTAATTTTGAATCCAATCCAGTAGACTAGCGAACTCTAGGATCAAGTATTGGAAGAAATTTTTATTTTCGTGGAGGTTGTTTTAATGGAACTAACCCATATTTGAGTTATATGGAGAGGAAAACCTCCCACGGTTAGTCTGGCAGCAAGGGAACTCTAACGTATGATTTGTTTACCACTGAGGATATTTTACGTCAGCACTGTGGTCGGTGCGAGCCGCGTGTGGAATTCGTATCTACCAGCCATCACTGGGATTCGAATCCGGTTCCATTCGGAGGAGAATGCTCTAACTCTTGAGTCCATCTTCACTGAGTAATAACTCTGCGGGAGGTACCACTTTTCCAATTTTATTGATTGCAACCAATTTTATTGGTTTACCTAAATTTTGTCATCTTCAAAATGTAAATGGCAATTCAATCGTAATTTTAGCAAAAGAAAGAAAAGGGAAATAAACTGTTTTTATTCTTATCTGCAAAGATTAATGAGAAGTAACCTCGAGCATTGGTGAGCAAAGTGAACAAAGGACGGAGACTTCTAGTTTTTTAAATAATTGTTAAATTATTACTTTTTTAACATGCATATTTTTTAAAAAATAAGAAAAACATTTTTCAGTATTAAGAAATAAAAATTAAACACTTTCATCCACGATCTCTCAGTTTTGCGTTAGATTTCATAATCATGAGACCCAAATATACACACCTGTCTTGCTGGGTTTTTTTTTTTTTTTTTTAAATTTAATAAACTACGAATCTTTTGGATACTTGACATTCTTGATTTTGTTGAAAATTTCGGAATATTGAAAAAAATTGGACTAGAAATT